AAAAATGACGCCATTATTTAGAAGATGCTCTTAATCTAATCATTATATATACAAATCACAAGAACTTTGAGTATTTTATATCAACACACGTTTCAAATTGTTGTCAAGCCCACTAGATCATGTCTTTATTAAGATTCAAATTTAAGATCTTTTATTGATAAAAAAAAATAACAAGATTTATCAGATACTTTTTTTAGAAAATCTTATCTTGCATCAAAGAAAAAAGATGTTTCTTTTGATCAATATGGATAATTTTCTTGAAGCCACAATATCTTCATCTTTAAGTAATAAAATCAATACTAATTATTGATTCAAATTTTATTGAGCAAATTCAATAAAGTATGTCTTTTGATCATTTAATTTGTAATATTAAGGAAAATCCTTCAAAGTCTCATGATACTTTTAAGTTTGAATTTAAGAATAATTTACTATATTTTGAGGGATACTTATATGTTTCAAAAAATAAAGCTTAATTACATGTTCTTCAAGCTCGTTACAACTTTTCAATAACAAGACAATTTGGATACAATAAGACTTTAGAACTAGTATCCAAAGACTTTTTGTGGCTTCAAATGTCGAAGGTATTTAAAGATTTTATACAATTCTATGATGTTTGCTCAAGATCAAAAATTCCTCGTCATCAATCTTACAGACTTCTTCAGCCATTATCTATTTTATAACAAATATGGTCTTCTATTTCTATAGATTTTATCACAGATCTTTTAGACTTAAGTTCTTATGACTCTACATTCATGATAGTAGATCGTTTCACCGAAGAGGCATATTTTATACTATATGTAAAATCAATCACAGATGAAGAAACAACCAAGCTTTTTCTTGACAACATCTATTGCTATTATGGATCATCTAAGGATATTATATCAAATATGAGAACTTTGTTTGTATTAAGATTTTGAAGAATACTTTTCAAGATTCTAAAGAGAGACGTAAAACTATCTTTGGCTTTCTATCTTCAAATTGATGGAGAAACAAAGCATGTAAATAAAGTTTTAAAGTAGTGTTTGAGGTATATTATCAACTATCAATAAGATGATTGGACAATTCTTTTACTATTGGCAAATTTTGCTTATAATAACATGGTACATTCTTCTACACAATAAACATTTTTTTTGTAGTGTTATAATTATCATCTACAACTTGATGTTTTTAACTTTTTAAAAGTTGATAATCTTGCAAGAAAGACTTGGCAAATTATTTCTTTGAGTTATATATAATAATGAAGACACAACTAAAAGAGACTGAAGAACAATAAAAAAATAACGTGGATTCCTATTGCAAGGAATAACCTCATTTCTACATTAGTAATAAGGTATGATTACTTTATAATAATATCAAAACTATTTGTCCTTGTCACAAGTTGGATTACCATAGACTTGGACTATTTTCTATTTATAAATAAGTAAATCGAGTTACTTATTGATTACACCTACTAGAGTCTATAAAAATCCATCTTGTATTTCACATATCTTTTTTTGAGCCATATAAGAAAGTGAACATCCCAAGAAGAAGACAAATACCACTGTCTCTTATAAAAATGGATAATAATCAAGAATTTGAGGTAGAAGAAGTCTTAGACTCGACGTGGCACCAACTTAGGTTGAAATATCTTATTTATTGATATGGATATGATATTAGCAAATGTACATGGAAGCTAGTAAAATATCTTACAAATGTAGTAGAAAGAATCAAAGCTTTTTATCAATAATATCTATCAAAATTAAGATGAAGAATAACAAATCTTTGCTATGAAAGAAATAAAATTTTAAAAAAATTACATTCTATCTTCTATTTTTAATTGTGGTATTAAAGAGATAGAGAACAATAATTAGTATATTCAACTTAAGAACCATCATTTGCTAACTTACCGAACACAAAATTGTAATTATTATAGTCTTTAAGACCACATAATAGAGATGAAGATCTTCAAAAATGATATGTTCTTTCTTAAATAGATGGCAAGTTACAATTCATTTGATATCACAACTAGGAAAGAAAGTCTCAATGTTTGGTGATTTTATTAGACATAGGAATGATTCTTGAAGGTATTACAAATATTTTTTTTTGAAGGAAGTTATAAATGTCTCAACAATAATCAAATAATAGGATGATTTTTCTACCTTGAAATGAGATATTATTGACAGTTGAGAGGACCTATCAACTACCTTTAAAGAGAAAAAAGATCAAAGTATGTAGCAAATACAATTTGCCATATCTTATACTTCTTCAACATGTGATCATTGCTCCTCATGGAACTTGTCTCCAAAAAAGGGAGTAATATCATGAACATATATTTACTGTAATTGATACTTAGATAATATGAATAAGTAGAAATAGATAAAAACATATTAATTTCATAATATCTTTTATACTAGCTTTTTAGAAGTTTCATAGATGCTATTTTGACTTTACGTGTATTTGTAATTGATTGGTAGATTAGAAATTTAGTCAATAAGTTAATCATGTGTTATACGTGTTAGTAGCTTGCAAAACAAGCTAACTATGTGGTGCCTATATAAAAAGCTTGTCTTGTAAGTTAAGATATATGTTGTGCAAAGTCAACATATTTTGGAGGTCCTATAGAACATCACTACATAGCTTTTTAAGTAGATAGTATATATAGAGGCATGACTGAAGTTTTCTTCACTTTTGTCAATTCTTTTTTTGCTTCTAGTCTAGTTTTAAGAAGTCTCTAATTTTCTTGTCTTTTAGCAATAGCCATTCTACTTTCTTTTTAATATATATATTTTCTTATTTCTATTTTGTCATACTTCTTTGAGAAAGTTTCATTTGTTTATTTGATTTTATTGAATTCTTATCCTTGACATATAGTCTATTTGATTTGGTCTAATTTTTATTTAGAAAAAAATTAGTATATAATTATATTATGATATTAAGAAAATAATCCATATTATATTCTTTTCTATTTATGAAGTTTTTATTATTATTTATATTCTAAAAAATTATAAATTAATTGAAAGATAGAAAAATAATATATTTTTTAAAAAATTGGATATTTTATAACATGTTATAATTTGAGATTTAATAAATAATTTACTTAAAAGAATAAAAAAGGACAAAGATATTTTCAATTTATTTTTTTATTTATAAAAAAAGAATATTTTTAAGAAATTAAAAAAATAAAAATTCAAGGCTTTTAAAATAAAACAAGAAGATTAAATATTGAAACTTAGTATTTCTATTGTATTAAAAAAATAAGCTTAATAAATAAATATTTTATATTCTAAATATTATTTTTAGTATAAAAATATATTTCTTAATAATTTTTATACTTTTTATCATTATGAAGTAAAATATAAAGTCTACTAATATGTAATAAGTAAAATTGCTATAAAAAACTAGATACAATATATAATAATATATATATTTTAAATTTTATCAAGAAAAAATATATATCTATATATAAATAAAAATATATCTTAAATAAAGTTCTAAAGTACTTATTATATATAAAAAAATTATAAGTCAAATTATATTTTTTTATCTAATTTATATTTAAAAATACTATATTTTACTTGATTTGATTTAATTTATAATTAGATTTAAATTAATACAAAATTAACTTAGATAGATTATAATACTTTTTGCATTTCCTTCTTTTTTATGTACTTATATTTTAATAATATTTATATATTACAAAGTAAGCAATAAGATAGAAGTTAGAAGAGTAACAAGTTAGTTTAAAATATGAATTTCTTCAATACACTAGAACTTAAAGATTAATAATTTACTTAAAAATAAGAATAAATACAAGATAAGACACCATCCATACTTTATTATTCTATAAATTACATGTATAAAAACTTCATAAAATCATTCAAGTTTACTTTATTATATATAAATTATAAAATCTAAATATTATTTTTTAAATTATTAATATATACAAAAACTATCATATTAAATAATTTTTATTTATAATAAAGTTATATAAAAATTAAAATAATAACTTATGATTATCATAAACATATTATTTTAAAACCTATTTATATATCTATTTTATATTTTAGTTATATATTTTGGATATTTATTATAAAAACAATAGCTATTGCACTTCTTATTATTGAATATTAATATGAATATTATTGATATTAAAAATAGTTACAATTGTTGTACACTTCTTTTTGCAGGTACAACTTAATAATTATTGATTATACCTCCTTCAAAATACTTATTAATGCCACCATAGTTTTTTTTGTTGCTTGCACAGCTTACAATCCATCACATGCTGGTACAATTTTTTCTAATATCACCTCAAGCCACCTCAAACCTATATTGTAAACAAAACATTATATTTTTTGAAATTCTAAAATATACATCTATAAAGAGTGGGCACTTTATCTATTGTAGTGTGGATTAATAATGTTTTATAAAGTGCATTATTGTGTGTAACTTATGTTTTAGACAACTTGTGGTAATAGTAGCAAAAATTGTGATAGCTTTAGCAAAAACTATGATGACATATAGTGGATTGAAAATTGTGATGATAGCAGCAAAAATTATGGTAATATTAGCAAAAAATATGATGATATGTGGTGGATGACTTGTTGTGGTAGTCATAGCAAAAAATAAGGTAACATTAGCAACACTCTAGTTGATAGCCATTTTAAAATTTTAAAAATATATACAATAAATTTAAAATATAAATAAATAATTAGAATTTATATTTTTTTATAATTTCCTAAAAGAAATTTTTAATTTTTTACGAGCATAATTATATTAATATCATATTTTAGCATATTAATAAGAATTTTTATTTGATGTATAGACTACTTTATCCACTATGATCTATTAGATATTAGTATAAAAGCTAATAATTAGATTACTTTATGTATTTAAGTGTAGAGTAATTTATGATGGATATCTGATTCAAGAAAGATAAAAATATAAATAAGATATATACATTTATATTATATGTGTGTGTGCATATACATATGCCCATTTAAATAAGCTGCATCAAACTATTTCAGATTGAAATTAATATTTTATCATTAAAAACATGTTTTTTTTACACATTATATAATTTCGTGAAAGAAGATGGTACTTCAATGCATTGAGGAAAAAACAACAGAGAATAGAGGTGCACATGTGTACAGCTGAGTCCATGTTCAGTGGATTTTCTTTCAAGGAACAAGATAAAACTCAGCAGTCGCCAAACCAATGACTCAAGCCCTTATTAACCTTACTAACAAATCAACCAATTCTCATTAAGTTCTCTACTCTTCCCAGTCATGGGAAAATTATATGGCAGAAGAGGTACTTTCCAAACCAGAAATTGATCAAGGCAACAATAGAAAAAAAAGTAAAAAAAAAAAAAAAAAAAAAAAAAAAAAAAAGTAGCTCGGCACGGCACTTCAAATCCTGTCCACCACCACCACAGCAGCTCTCATCTAGACCCTTGGATTGCTTCCATTGTTGTAGGCCCATACAACTTCAAACAGTTCGACAGACCTGCAGGGTCAGCATTTTGACTGAATTTCCATGTGGGTCCATCTTAAAAGCGAGAGTTCTGCATGGGGAAGGAAACTCCACCTGCTCAGGTGTTGCGTTTTTTGGGTTACAAGTAGCCTTTTGACTTGGGGTACCGATCCCTGAACCTCGCTAGCAGAATACGCGACAATGGCCTCTTGCTCGACAACTCTTTCCCATGCTCCTTCAGAAAAGCCAGCACCTCCTTCTCGAAGTCCACCAGTCCCAGGACACCTGTTGTTGTGTCAACCGCACCACTAAGGTAGCTGGAGTGGCAGATTTTGCATAGCTTTGTTGAGGAGGATTATGATGCATTCATACGGCTGGAAGCATGTGGAGCAAGAGTGCAGGAAACTGTTTCCCGTTGCCTACTTGGAGTGATTGGCAGAAGAATGCTATGAATATTACATGTAGGTTGTGCAAAGTAAAGTTTTGGAAGTGTTTCTCTAGTGGGAGTTGAGTGGTTAAGTTGCGGACCGAGAGCTAGTTCATGGCCATCTTCATTCTGGCCGTTCTCAGCTTCCTCACATGCTTCTGCCTGCAGATCGCGAGCTGTCTGAGCTTGTCGCTCCAAAAACTCCCCTTCGGTTTCTTCTTGCGTTGCAGCAACAGGCTCGGACCGTGTCTCCTGTCCCGTAATGGTAAGAGGTGAGAAACAATCGAAAAGCATGACGTCAAGCAACAAATAATCTAGCTTCGCAAACTAGGGGACGTTGAAGTCTATGTTAAAGTCAAATGAGTGAATCCCAGTGGAGGATCTAGATCTTGAACATTATTCTCAAGCTTTTGGGTAAACAAGACCTAAGCTCGGGATTTAGACTCTCGCTGCTCTTACATCAGAAAACCGATAAACGGGAATAAGAAAGGTTTGTTACAAGAACAAAGCTCTTCAAAACAAGAATCTGTGTAGAACGTGAAGGGCAGACGCTCAGATTTGTAGGAGACACATGTGAAGCTTACATCTAGGCTGTCATCCTCGGAACTGAAACCGGAATCAGAGTTTGAAGTTGATGAGGATCCACTCTCGTCGGATTCTGAGAGCTCCATGATATCCTTGAGTTCCACCATAGATTCCAATAGAGAACGTAGACAATGATGGGCCGCTGTGAACCCATTCTGGTTTTGCAACAAGTTCTTGTTGATAATGTGCACCATTACTCTCTGCAAGCCAATCACTGCAGCCCCAGAGTGTCTCCATCATTAGCTACTTCCATATACTACATAAAATAATAATCGACACAACGTGCATTTATCTCAAGGATTTTAAGAGTGACCAATGGGTCAACCAGTAATTTTCATCTCGGATTCCAGCGAGAGGCTTGGATCAGCTTCACTTTCAGCTAGCCCCGCCAGCGCTTCAGCTAAGGTGAGCAATCCCTGACATGACCCATCTTCCGTCACATCGGGACCATTATCGTCGAAGCACAAGATTTTTTCCACTTCCTCAGGCAAATTGATGAAACACACAGTGATGACAAGTATGAGAGGCTTCGCCAGCGGGACGGTCATGCTTGTCAACTGCTGTAACCGTCGTGAGGCAACCTCACAGAAGCGGGGAACGAAAAAGGCCATTAACGCTTCCCCTTCAAGCGAGAATTGTGTTGCATGCAAAAGGGCATGTACGTTGCGACATGCACGCCAGCACGCCGCAGAGGATGCAGAATCGATGGCGGTAGTGAGGAAGGTGACTACGCAATCCAGGATAGACCGCTCACAGGTCTCCGGTGCAGATGAGGGCATAACTTCGGATAAAGAGAACTGAATTATTGAACATCTTTCCTGCATTGAATAGTGATATAGTGAGTGAGAATGAAGAGTAAAAATCTGGTCCGAAATCAGAAAAGTATGTTAAATTTCCAGAATTAAACACAACCCATTGCCAAACCTTATGCTTATCCAAACAAAGTCCAGACATCTTAACCAGGTGGGTGAGGTGTACAAAGACCTGCAAAGCAATAAGTTCGTCAATGCAGTCAAAGACTGGCTCATCTCCATGCGCGTCCCATCCATTCGAGGCTGCCACCAAATTAGCCCAGACTCGAACCAAGGATTCCATTTTCATTTCGACAACGTCTGCGGAGCTTTGCCCGTATCTCAAGATGACTTTCAGTAAAACTGAGGCATCACTGAGACACAAGGCTTGAGGTTTGACTGGCATAGCTCCCTCCTGCATGAAGAAAGCATAAGCCACGTAATGAAGTGCATCTTACTTTAGCAGTCTTGTGCGGTTGTTCGTAATTTGGAAACAAGCAGGTTTCACATTATCTCTGCTAACTTTCAGCTTGATCTAAGCGTCTGAATTTCGTCCAAAGGTTTCATGCTAACCTGCAAGGGCACAAGCCATGCTCGTTGCAATAGCTCAGAAAATACATTCGCCACGGTGGCGCAGCCAACCATCCATTTATCAGAATCCTTCCCCTTACTCTTATCTTTATCAGACAATGCAGCTTCCCAAGCCTTAGCAAGCGCAGCGATCGCTGAGAATCCAAGCTCAGCAACCTGCAGAATTCGCAGTGGTGTTGAAAGGTGGTCAATTGCTGAACCCTTCGTGAGTCCGAACAGGATGGTTGCAGCAATCACCACTTAAAACAAGTCTAAATGAATAGTTCCCCCCTACTACTCATTTCCAGAGCGAAACAGCGAAGAGCTCTTTACTTACTTGAGGCCACGGTTCAGAGTTGGAGGGAAGATTCTTGCAGGTCACCACCTGCACTACAGCAGCGATAGCTGGAACATAGGAGGCTACAAATTCTCGGCCGGTCTCCACAGCTATTGTCAGCAGTTGCAGAGATATTGCCGCCTCGCTTTCTTTTTCCATTCGTACGCCGGCAACAGTGGCTTGGAGTAGAGGCAGCCATTGAATTGGCTTGTACCCGTTCTGCCAAGCCCAAGCCAAGCATGACATGATAAACCCGTGAGGCAAGGATTATAAAATCTTAAAACATAAAACTTCGCATAAAAGACTTGTCGATCCGAGAGCGTAACAGTGTGCAGAAGATTCCAACATTCCATCGAAAATCTTCTTCAGCGAACTCATAGAGATGAGGACCTGGAGAAGAGATGCAAGTGCTGCCGCAGCGGATGCTCTAACAGGCCGCCATGATACACAGCCAGCATTGGGAGCCAACAAAGCCTTTAACAAGGCTGTGTATACATTCTCCCGAAGAACCTGGTGCAACGACATCGATTGCAGTGATTAGCAATTCACTCAGTCTACACGGCACCTCGTTCCGGCTTCATAGCTATAGCGTTGAAGCAATGAGAACACAACGCTAATGGAACTAACTTGGATATTTGATATTGAATATGACAAGAACTCCTCTTACCTCAGGCAAGCAACTCGAAAGTTCCCCTAGTATCCAGTTGGCGTTGGCCAGTACATAAGGACTTGGAGCCACCATTAGATACAAAGGAAACACGCGCCTTTCCAGCAGCAGGGCAACTTTTGCAGCTGGTAATGTCTTCAAATACTGCGCACTACGCATGATAGTGATTCAAGAAAATCTGTATACTCTATTCTAAGCAAACATTTGTGTCTATATTCTTCTCATCGACCACGGTGGCTAAAAACTTGATGGATTCCGAGTATCACAATCAAGCTCAATAGCAACGGCTCGCCAGAGATAACCAACTAACCTTCTGAAGACCTCCATACGCTATCAGAGCGCCATAATATCTGCATATTACCAAACTTTCAGCCACATTATGACGACAAATCATCGAGAATACGAAACTTTGCATTAACACACAAGCATAGCGAAGGTAATTCGGAAAGGAAATGAGCCATGCATGCAAAGCAATGAAATGATGAAGAGGTGTTGACATACCTTAGTACTTCGTCAGATTGCACGTCAGCTCCATCAGTAGGAAGTGGATATCGAGCTAGATAAAGCATCACTAGAATATCGCCAACTCTGTCTGAGTCATCCTTATTAGCTCCCTTGGACCCAATTCTCCTGCGTTTGACAGTGCCGGCTTTCTTTCTCCTGCGTACAGATTGAGGTCCCTGGAAATTTCACACGACAATGAAGCTTGTGATGTTCTGGAAGAATTTGACTGATTTCCAAAATAGAACATGACGCGAACCTTGCAGCCGTTATACATTATAACTCAGTAACGCGAAGCATTTTTTTTTTTCTTTCTGACGAACCATGTTTCCATCAAACTCCCAATCAATCTCAAAGAAGCAAGCACTGGAACTACGGAAAGAGGCGATATTACACCTTAGCCATGGCGATGATCCCAAGCAAGTTTAATGCCCTTCGTCGAGGTGTGACCAGATCTTCAGTCGATCCACTTGCTACATCCTGAATTGGGGAACTTGTTTACCATGAGATCATTGTAAAGCTTGATCGATTCTCATCTAGTGTGTTTTAAACTGTATGTTGCTGTTGTATGCAGATTGCACTCCCCTGCTTGAGATGATAATATTTGTAGCACACAACAGAGTTTAAGGAGGATCATTCTTTGAAACAGATGAAATACCATGTTCGAAGGGAGGTTTTTCTGGATATACTCGTCCTCTTCCTCTACCCATTCAGATAGATCCTGCAATCAATTAAAAGTTATAGAATTGATTTCATTCTCAAGATAATCAGTCGTACTTAATTGAATACAAGACTAACGTGTAACACTCAACTTTGGCCTGACAAAGTGGTGTACATCTAGAGCTGTGAAGCTGTAGCCTAACCCTCGTCTTCATGACTCGCCGATGATGCTATAAACTTAGAATATATGAACCAGGTTTTTGACCTTCGACTCAACACCACTACAAGAACACACCTTTTCATTCATCATAAGAGCAGGGAATATTGCTTTATCCAGCAAGTTGGGGAAGTGGGATGCAATTAATTTCCATCCCTGTCATAACAGCAGTACAAATGCAAACTTGATGTAAATCTACCTCTGATGTATGTAAACAAAAGAGTTTATACCATTGTTACTGTTAACAAGGTAACTTCAGAAAGTGCATTAAAAGTTGGATTACTTGATGAGGTTCACAACCCAGACTTAACACCACAGAGTTTACCACTACACCCGATGATTTTGAGATTCAGGAAAGTGCTTACAACTTCTGTCTGAAGAATGTTGGCCAACAAGTCAAAACCCAAGGATATCACGCGTTGTTGGATTTGATTAAAGTTCTGCCAAATTGCAACGAATGGGTAAGATAACCTTGTAGCGTGAATCGCGAAGGCGTACTCAATGCAGACTTGTCCCCACTGCATCCTTTTATGTAGAACAGATTAAAGCAACAAGATCACTGGTTTGACCGTTCTCAATCCCTTATCAAGTTCCTAATCTTTATAGACTTCTGCTTTACCTTGGCATTTGAGGTCTTTCCAACAATTTCAAGTGCTGCAACTGCCAGTGAAGATAGAAACCTACACCAATATATTCATCAAGTTTTTAATGACACTGGTCTTAAATTGGACCACGATTATAGTAGCCGTTTTCAGCATGCATAATAAAATGATGGAAAATTAATGATTAATCCATTAGAGGGGCAATTCTCGTTCAAGAATGCATTAGTTTGTATCCCTTCATAGTGAAGAGAGCTTACTTGTCCACATACACTCCATGCCGAGAAACCATATTACAACAAATTTGTAATGATCTTTTCCATATCTTCAGTCTTGGTTGTTTGTCCAAAGAATCCACCCGTTCTTCAAGAACAACTGAATCTAGCAGACTTAAAAGATCCGTGAACCACTGGTCGACAGATCCTAGTAATGCAGACGGCATGTGCGATTTCAGCTGCAAGGTAACAGAGACAACTGAGAGTGGCTTTTGATGTTAAAGCTGGATGTCGAAGCATCAACACGTACCCTCCTGAACGATCTACAGGAATATGTAACTTGTGCAACTTCTCTGATCAGAGAAATCGCTCACAAGGGAACAAAAAGAAAGTCGAACTTGATGAAATAAAAAGAAGAAGTGACAATCTTCAGAAATAATTAGAAGATAGATGCATCCATCGTCTGCAAAGAATCAATTCACTTCGCATCATCTCCAGGATAAGAACTTTGTTTCAGAATTGTACGAATTTGTATTGTAAAGGAAAGTGACATCTGACTGCGCTTCAACTAGGAGGAACTTACAGCATGATCTAAAGATTTGCAGAAAACCAGCAGGATGATGTCATGTTGTGAGTATTCTGCAGCTTTAGATGTTGCAACCTGCAACAAGTAATTCACTGGCGACGTTATTTATTTATTTTTTGTACCTGTCAAGTGAATGCCTTGAGAAAAGAACCCTGGCCTTACCAATAAACCCACATTGAGCCAGTAATCCCTTGAATGATCTGAAAACCTGAGCTGAAGGGCAATCGATACCTGCTGCACAAGCTGATGGAAGGTCCCATGGAACGGAACGAGAAGCTCTTTGGAAATGGTCTCCAGTTGCTCAGGAACAGGCTCACTTGCCATGGTTGGGTTCAGAAAATACTGTACACCAACCAGCATCCAAAACTTCCTCAAGGGCACACTTGAACCATTCCATTGACGCAAATAGAGAAAAGCAGTGTAGGACTAAGTGCCCAGACTTCCTCTTCAAGCCCCAGGACGGAGAAAGATTTGATCCTCACCTGGAAGGGTTTGGTGATGATCTGAAGTCCAAGAAGACAATTAAGAGCCTTCATATCTGAAGCTTCGGATCCATTCATAAGGTCGATATTCTCTATGGCAATTTTCAGGGCTGGCACAAGCTCAGGCCACGCCTTTTCTCTTACAAAATCATGAATTGTCACCAGCAAGAACTGCGAAAAATGGCCCCAGTCAGAAAATAGGGGGAAGTGCCAGACCACTAAGAATCGCACGTTGAAAGTAACTAGAGATGTGAGAAATAACGAAAAGAATCGTGTTAATATCACTCACAGATTCTGCCAAAGGCTTGCGTACGAGATCGTCGACACGCAAGACCACATCCACAAGCTGGTTCCGAAACTCTAGCCTCTCGTCACGAGACATGACGCCCTCCGCATTCCAGTGAGCTTTCAGGAAGTTCTTCAGGGAAATAGCTCCAGCTACTCGAATCCCTTTCTCCCTACCTCCTAAACAAAGCATTACCAAGAAACAAAAGATTCCAACTCAGTAATGCCAATTTCTTTCTTCTCTGTCGGTATCAAACTCTGTCGACAATAGCTCACGTACCTCAAGATTCATCCTGTTCTCTCATCCTTGGATTTCAACAAAACGTAATACACACTACTCCAGATTTTCCTAATATAGTGTAGGATGTCAATATATACTGAAACATTAAATAGCAGCACATGATTACTTGCATGGTTGGACTGGTCATCTTTCTGAGATAAAATGTAATACCAGCGGCAAGTTCAAGCAAGCACAGGGCAAATTTTGGGGCTGTCTGTGCACCCTCCAAGTGCAATGTTGCTGTCCGCATTGCTCCTTCGTCAGGTCCCGCGGTGTCGCTCAACCAACATGCAATGTTATCCTTCACCGCCGTTGGCAATTCCACCATGGCCTCCATCTTGGGTGTCTTTTTATGTACTCCCGGTTCGTTCTTTTAAATTAGATTCAAGCAGATAGGCAGGCAATGTTCGCAGCACATTGCAACACTTTCAAAGCCCAAAATTTAACGGAAAGATTGTATTATTTTCCTAGCACATCGGCAAGATGCAGGTCTCTAACACAAAAAAATAAACTCATGAACTCGATGCTTTCCTTCCAGACAGGATTGGAAATCTTTGCAAATTAATACCTTCAACACTGAAGAGTTTCAAAGAAATAGAAATCGTCAGCCAAATAATCAATTCCAGACCTCTTCAAAGTTGCAGAGACGCTCCTCTCTGGAGCTCGGTAACCCAGATTACTACAGCCTCAGGATCGGAAAACAGTTGCAAATGGCAACCGACAGAGATATAAAACAAAACCGTCTTGAACAGAGCTTCGTATCCTTACAGCTAGAATTTGATTTGTCTCAGACGAAGTGTGAGAAAACTTGCAGTACTGTGAGCGACCTCAAATGCTCAGTACGTTATACCCTGAACTTCTACAAAAGGCCAACCCTTCGGATGAAATACTGGCACCTTAAAGAGGAAATTCAACATGCATTTAGCTCAAATAAATCGGTACCGACAGCGTGCGATTTTCACAAACCGTTGCCATTTGATAATTGAACCTTTATTTGGCATAGGAACAGCTTACAAAGAAAAGATTTGTTGGAATGCTCTCTGAAGACACCCATCATACGCGTTGAGAAAGCTTAATTTCTTTCTAGAAAGATGAAGGGATTCACTATTCATATAGAATACGTACATTTCTCATCGAATCCAGTCTGGAAGATACCAGAAAACAATCAGAATCCCGATTCATTCGGTTCTATAATGATAGCAGGCTGCTTGTAACAAATCCCCTCACCAGCCGAACCTTGGTGCCGGAAAAGATAGCCACACTACAAGTTCTACAGGATAGAGAAGGCCTTGCACAAGCACACGTTGGTTTGTCTCCGAGTAAATACAAGGCGGTGTATGTGCAAGAGTTCATAGTCATATACTAAACCAGCTCACTTCCTCGTGACTTAAAGCATCCAGCAGCGGATATGAGCCAACCGCCGAATTCCAAGCGGTAGTCGAGCTTTAAGGTCTTGCGCAAAAAATGGAGTGCCTGCAAACACAACCAAGTTCGTAATTGCTATCTCGATTCGACTGAAATTGATGTCACTGGACCTTCGAGGCTGATGTCCAACACGAGCAGGCATTTGCATCCAACAACAGCTTATCTTCCTCCCGGTCGTTGCACGCTTTGCACAAAAGAAGGCCGACCAAGTTAACCTCAAGATGCGACGCTGCAAACAGACAGTAATTCTAAATTCAGCAAGCATCACAGATAAGGGAGATGTGCCAAGGAGAGTACTGTATAATACTAAAGTGAATTTTAAAGAGAATACTTGTTTATTATTTTGTCTATGCACCTTGGGGTGCATTTCGTCATACTTATACCTTAGAAACGCTCAACTAGAAACTCCTCCGCATCTTCCTTGTCTTTGTAATACTCCACTTCCGCCTGCACCAGAGGTACCCAAATAAGATAGTAGTTGATAAGATTAAAATAAGACAACAATCGTCAACTCCGACATATCTCTAAGAAACTACACACCCAGCCAGAATAACAAGGACTCGAAAATTACCAACCATGATATGATACGCACCTTGCGGATTGCAATGATAGTTTTCGCCAAGTTCTTTCCGAGAGCTTCACAAAGCACAGAGTCGCCTTCAAAAGCTTGCACTGATGCAATCAATGAATTGGGCAGGCGTTCAATCTCTCCTTTCATCAAAGATGGGTTTACTTCTGCATCAACAGCGAGACAGGGTTACTAAGCAGAAACGCAAAACCTCCCACTCTTTTAATTTGATGTAAACCAGTGAGGGTGACCGAACCTAAAAAGACAAGGCATACCAGTAGGCTCTGGAAGCTGGAGATGGTTTCTTAATCCGTCCATTCCAGCAGCAATAAGTGTAGCCAATCCCAGGTGCGGGTTGGCACATCCGTCAAAGCTCTTCAATTCGAAATTGCTAACCATGTCCGCATCACATCCGGGGGGACTAGCGGTCCTCAGAGGCGCCTCCCGGTTGTCCCGTCCCCAGCATTTGTAAGCACCGCTCCATGTGTCAGGCTGAATGCGCGCATAACTACAAAGGGCACCAACACCAGGATTCAATACCTCGCTTGTGCAATTCTTTCCTTTGTTGAAGCTTCAAAGCAGCAAACTAAGCACATGGGACGAGTGTAAACAAACACCAGATGGAGCACAACAGCAACTGACCTATTCGGATTCGGACAAGTCATTGCAAAGATCGCTGGCAGATGGTGCAACACTCCAGCCATAAACTCCTGTCCCTGCTTCGACATGCCGTGCTTTGAACCCGAGCCTTTGCCCATCAACACATTCTGGTCGCCTTGCCATATGCTGAGGTGCACATGAGAGCCAACTCCCGCTCCAGTCTTAAAGTATCTGCATTTCAAACGAACACATGAAATGTAAGGATCACATGGGTCACGAAAGAAATTCAAAACAAAGACAACAAAATAAAGCGACAGGGCCCTCACTTGGGCAGAAAAGTAGCACGAAGTTGGTGCTTATGGGCGATGGCAGTGACTGCCTCCCGGAGTAAGAGAAGCTTGTCAGCAGCTTCGAGACATGGAAAGTGGCCAACAGCTAACTCGAATTGGCCTCCACCGGACTCACAGTGCATCTGCAATGGCAATAATTCCATTGTCAAAAAAATCGCAGCAAACATAATATCTGGAGCATGATTAACACCATAAGCGATCATCCTAGAGGAATTAGACGAAGGGTTGGATTTGTCTGAAACACCTGCTCAATCTGGATGCCTAGACTGGACAACGTGCTGGTAATTTCGGAAAGAATGGCAGACGCCGAATTAAAGCCTGCGGATGAGCAGTAGGGTGTGGCATCCACTCCCTGCCATGTCTTCTCTCCGTCAACGCGTTTGAGGAGGTAAAATTCGCTCTCAAATCCAGCTCGAAGTGTCTGCAACAGTCATTAACGATGATTGGAAACATCCTTACACCCTGAACTTCAAAAACCAAACGTTATTCTGTGAATCCTTTAACTCAAAAGTTTAGAAGAACAACAGCCACTCGCTCACCAAGCCAAATTCTCTCTCCAACGTTTGTGTTACGTTGCGGAGAGTAGCACGCGGGCAATATTCCCACGGTGTTCCAGGAGAGCTGTGCATATCCACGAGCGCGATCTCATGCTCAGGAAACCAAGGCAGCCTGCGTCTCGTAGAGATGTCGGGCATCAGACGAATCTCGCCAATGGCTGTCAGACCACTGTTCAGCACTGGGGAATCGGTGAAAGATGGCATCGCCATGCAAGCTTGGGTAATGCCAAGTCCATGGTCCATGACTACACCTTCGTACCTCTTGACAGGCACAACCTGCGCAAATCCAAACGGTCAAAAGAATTCATAAAGTAAAGCGTGCGAAAGAGTTCGTGAAAGCAACCGATATACACACCGACATGACCGCAACGACGTCAGACACTCACTCTGCACCGTCTTTGTCCCGATGCGTCAGCGAACAGCAACCGCACATGCTTCACCACAACTCCCTCATGTGCATCTTTCTCCGCAACAACTGGATCGACCACCTTGTCGTCGGCCAGCACATCCACCTTCGGTGCTCTTGGACTGCCTGGGAGAGACTGCGCATTCTGGCCATCTTTGAAAGACTTACCCTGGGGAAGTGTCCGGAGCGAGGGTGGCAACCGAGGTTGGAATGAAGGAGTCCGCTCCATAACTCCAAACCCTGCCGTTTGGTTCAGCTTGCTCAAACTATCAGTAGAGGCGGAGAATCCACCTCTGCCTTCTAACTTGTAGAATTCTAACGCATTTCGTCCCAGTATTCCATCTGCGGCCGCCAGTGCCTCATTGATTGGCATGTCTCCATTGTCATAGGCTTCGATCAGTACCCGAGCCAGAATATCTCGTGACCACTTCGCACCAAGAAAGAATGTCTCTGGAAATGCGTAGCCATCTGTGCTGAACATAATCTGTAGCACAGACAAACAAAACGAGGGCAGTGAAACTGATAAGATCGAAGAGGAGAATTAGTGAAACATGACACATACAATGTTGAGGGTTTTTGTTGAAAGATTACCTTATTCACAGGAGCCAGATCCATGAGATCACTCACTGCACACCTCATTCCACGCACGCTCAACTTTGGAACCACAAGCCCAAAGTCCAGATGAACCTGAGGGTACACGCTGGCGAGATAAGACGCTTCTCGCATGAATGGATACGAACCATGGAGGAGCACAACACGAGCGGTGGCGAAGCTTGGGCATTCCAGCACGGCTCGCAAATGCAACGGGTTAGCGAGCTCCAGCTGCAAGTCTTTGTCACCGAATCTGAAATAATGCAAGGGATCCAAACACATCAGTTCGCTTTGAAGATCGCACCAAGTCTGTGCAACCGCTGAATCGTTCACCGGTGATCTGAATAAGTAGAATTAGGCAGCGCTTCGGCACGTACCCTGTGTGAATCTGAAGTGGAACGTCTCGGCTAGTGGCCACCTCGAGAGCTCGTAAGAATATGAAATCAATCAAGGCCTTGTTCGAAACTCGAACAGGACTCCCCGCACCTGTTGAACGCATTCCAGCCAATGTCAAGAGAAGAACGCTCAATCAAGTACTTTTCTTTTTAAATGAAAATGGGTGGGTGTTCAAATCTGACTGCAACTGCCACTTACGCAAATTGTCAAACAGGCCGTTTTCAGATTCTTGAGCTGACACGAGAGGGTTGATGCGGAGTCCGCTGCGGTAAGCTGCAATACTCTTGAAGGCTACCACCTTCGAAGAAAGTGTGAGAACGGCGTTGAGGTTAAGAAAGACGAACGTTTGTCCATAGAGAAATTTCGCAAAAATCACAGCCATTAGACCATGATACTGGATGCATTGAAAGACTACGCGCATTTCAAGTGAACTGTGATCGATACTCTCCCTTGCAGAAGATTCACGCTCATCCAATCACAAGTAACTCAATTCAGTGCAGCGGGGTAGATCATCCTTTAGAGATTAGGTTACAGACCAAGTAGCCGATACAATCACCGACACTACCGATATTAGAAACTTCACTAGAGTACCAAAAACTAGGTCACTTTTACAAAGGATATGATTCCAAGGTCGAGCTGAACCGGTGCTCGAAGCTCTCCAGGGTCCACCTCACGTTACCCTGAATGCCCTGTTACCAAGCACAGCGGTGGGAAAAGCACTGTCACGCCACAAGCAAACTAAAATGCTGAAAAAGGGTGCCAGAACAGGGTGAGCTGAAGGTTTACAGGAGAAATGGAAGAGGAGGGAGATGATTGCCTGATTCAGAATGGCCTCAGCAACAGTTTCGATTCGGAGAACACGGTGCACACCAGGGATGTACTTGCGGTGCCATCCTAAGCTGACCATTTTGTCCATTGTGAGCCCATCGTCCAGCAGAACGAATTCGATGTTAGCGGCATCAAAGCACTTCTCGCTGATCGAAGCTAATCCTTCAGTTTTCCGGAACTGTTCAATCGCTGCCAGAGAAGGTTCGCAGCCGTAAAGATCTGCCAGGTCTTGCAAGCTCCTCTGCAAATTAAGAAACAGCAGAATTTAATTCATGGCCGGGCAATTCACGTCCAAGCCAAGCTGCAGTCTAAAGTTTTAAGTTTGTGACAGAAGCCATCCCAAGCGGATTACATAGCTAGCAAGATTGAGACAGGTGCAGCGAGTTCTGCTGGGTGCAGATCCCAATGTAAGAAATGCTGCGAGCAGAACTCCAAATGCGGAGTGAGCAACCCCATGCTGCGCCCACGAGTTCCAATCAAGACAGGCTCGGTTTCTGTATAATACCGACCCGACAACCCAAATTCGGACCGAAAGATGATCGCAAGGAAAATTAGACTACTAGCCAGTAGACCGATAATTGCAGCCTCCTCAGGGCTTGTTGAAGAAATTGTTTGAAAATCAAAAGAAAATCACATGTTATGGATGGTTCCTTTTCAGTTCAACGCCATCGCGCCAGCCGAGGTGGCTGACAGAGGAATTAGGCGAACCTGAAAGGAGAGGCTGTGCGGCACCGACGAGAGCGCTTCGTGGCCGCGGGCTTCCGAGAAGCACTGCAGGAAGGGAAGAGAGGAATCCAGGGCAACGACATTGTGCGCGTGTGCATCGATTAGCGGCAGCTGCGCGCACACAGCTCGTATACGCTCATGGTCTTGCTCCCTCTCAGTGGCCATCTTCCCACTCTCTGCAGCCTAGCCCACCCCCAAGCTATCTTCACATAGGCCCTTTTACAATCTTCCTCCACACCTTTGCAATCCAACCCCAGAACCAACCTGCCGCCTTCGATTCCTTTACTCCGCCCTCAACCCAGAATTAAAAAATACCAACAAAAGTACTAAGAGAGCTCCCCGTATAGCCTGAATATGCCGAGTGAGCAACCCCACTCTGGCGGATGGCAAGTGAACGAGGGATCGCCGCGCTCCCAGACGTGATGGCTACGACGGTGAGTGGCACCACCAATTCTAGACTCCGACTAGTGCTAGGGATAAGATCAATTGTGGTACCAATCTTCGGCACTCTCCAAATACCCAAACCATCTGCAACCTCCCATGGCATCCCTCCATATTCCTTTTTCCGTCTCTGGGCCTGACACCCGGGTTGCATCGGAGCAGCCTTTCCCAAGCCTTCCCCGTCTCCGCCGTTTAGCGCCCCTCCCATCCAAGGGTGCCCCTTCCTCCACACACCGATATCCAGGTCCGCAAGCGGATATTTTGATGACATGGTTTCGGAGTTCGCGTCCCTCTCTAAGAAATCGGGGGCACTGCCGGAGGGCGGGGGATCAGCCCTCCGGCACGGGTGACGAGCGCTGCCATCGTCAACTTTTCGACAACCTGGGCCTAGAAACACGCGCCAGCCTTCGACAACTTATCGTTTCGACGGATGTTTTCGTTTGTGGCTGACAGGTTTACTGTTAAATACCCCCCCGACTCCCTCGAAGGCTGCCCGAATTCCGATTTTTTCTCGATTCACAACCCACATCACCCTTGAGCTGCATCTGCAAGGATCAGACAACCCCTCAACAGCTCAAGGATGACATCCAAGCTTTTCACGACACAAAAAGTCGTCGATTCACGTGGACAGGGAATTTTATCGTGGGTGAAAGTGAAGGTGGCAGGAGCGGCAGCTAGCCATTGAGCTGGGCACAATCGGTTTATTGATTTTGTCAAGTGCATCCATCCAGCGCTGCACCAAACCCCTCCATGAGCAATGTGGACCATCTCTGCGACCCCAACCATGTACTCCACACAACCCAAGGAGCCTACCACGACTGCTCCCTGCGAGGGGCCCGACCCCACAGGGCCCTCCATGGGCACCACCACCATCCGGAGCTCACACACTCCGCCGCTGACAAATCCAAGGGCAACACTGTGCATTTGCCCCTGCCCCTGCCCTCCAGAGATTGTCATGCTGTTGACATCAGTGCCGGCTCAATCATGGGTGATGGGAAGGGAGGGAGGGAGAGAGATGGAGGGAGTCTTGCTCACGCAATTGCGTCGGGAGGGTCCTCGCGGGGGAGTGACGACGACGCACAGACTGTGAGAGCTGGCTCCGGCATGGCCCTCCCCTTCTGGCCCCCGTGCGGCTGCCCCCGCCGCGCCCCCTCCATGTTGTGCCAAAACAGTCTAAACACGAACCCGTGAAGGGGCTCGTTTAGCTCGCGGCGCGCGTTTCGGCCTCTAGATTGCGTGCCTGAGTTCTGGCAACACCAAGCCTGATTGGCAACACGTGGGTCCCATGCCTTTTGCCAGAAACTTCTTTTTTCAGAAAAAAGATGAATAAAAGGGCTTCGGTTCAGATGGCTTGTGTGTATGACGAATTAGGGATGGAGAGTTCAACAGCCTCAAAGGAAAACTAATTTTCTTTTACTACTCTTTTGTATATTTACAGCTATATCCATGATGTGGGAATCAGTGCGAGCTTTGAAAGATTGTGCATGCCTGAAAAAGAGGAGTATTGACATGCATCCATAAAATAAGTGTTGATTTTTTGACATTTTGGAGGATTTTCTGACCCATGAGAGTGTGAGTGTGAGAGATGGATCTCAAACAACACTTAACATGGATGGTGGTCTTTGTTGATCTTACATAATATGTGAAGATGTATGTTAAACCAATCTCATCATTTACTAGATTGACTCACTTCTCCATCAGAAGACCTCTGCAATGTTCCCATTTTCCCCATCCCCATTCCCTGCCCCCTCCCCTGTCTAGACCCTCATCCTTGTTCCCATGCCTGTCATTTGTTCCCATTCCCATATTATAGATAATGATATACAATTTTTGAAGCAATTCATGATTCTTGCTCCAGAAACCAACCCCAAAGCCTTTAAGCCATATATTTACACATGATATCTATTTCAAAAGATTTGTACATTTAAAATTCAACTGAATTTTTTTTTTGATTCCATAGATATGTAGAATACAATCAAGTAATCCAATAGTATTCAAATTAAAACACAACGTATTTTTTTTATTTATTGCAATGTAACAACAGCAATGTTTTAGTCACAAAACAAATTTATAAAAAAACATCTATGATCAAAGTTATTGTTACCTTTCACAGTGATAAGGAATGGGAATAGAGGACATACATTGGAAACAAGGACAAGGGGTTGTGATGGGAATGGAGGGATCTAATGATGGTTTTGATAGGTGGGTCAATTTAGTAAAACTTGGGATCAATTTTACATTTCCTTATAGATGTATACAATTCAAAATAAATGAAAATTACATCAACCTTGTCAAATGAATTAGAATTTTTTTTAATTAAAAAATCTCAGATACTTTTATGATGAATAAGGATTATTCTTGTTTTGGAAATTTTTAAAAATAATCCTTATTCATCATAAATAATTGTTTTGGAAATTTTAAAAATATTTGAAATATGAATTTTAAAAATATGATGAAAGATGAAAAATTTATCCCAATACAAGATTTAAAAGGCTTATACTGCCCAGTCAAGTCTTGAATTAGAAAAAAAATGTTAAGGGATGATATAACCATAAGTGCAGATGTTACAAGTAGTTTGCTTGGATTACTCACATTCCAACATAAAGTCCTAGTCTTGCACCTTAACAAGGCACAATGGTGCAACCTAAGGAGGTTAATGGCAGTGCCACTTGAAGAGTTGTAAAGATGTCATTTTATTACCTCCAACCCTCCTGACACAACTCCCAAGCAGCAAATTTAAGAGGTTCTTGAAGACATTTAGAGGTGATATGAGAATTGAAATACAATTTAAGAGTGGTCATTTGAGAATAATGTTGTATACTCAATAAGATCCAGGTTGCAATAACCAGTGTGACAATTTGACCACAAACTAGTAGTTCCTTTGCATGACCTTAGATGTACATTATATCCATTTTCAATCCTCAGTATAATAAACATGGGATTTTAAGATTTTTGTGGTCTGAATAAATTAGAAACAAAAAAGTAAATAATTTATTTTAGTAGATGTTGGCATTTGAATGTTATATATATATATATATATATATATGTATATATAATGACTGTCCATGAAGTTCATTGATTAAATGTTTTTTTAGAAAGGATTTTTATTCTGGAAAAATAAAGAAATCATATAATTTAAAGATTTCCTCAAATTTTATTTATATTTTTTAAATAAAAAATATTCTAAATTTCTAATTTTAATTTAAAATTGGATGTGCATCACAGGTTTGCAATTGCTCAAAACCTATTCTGGATTTTAACTTGCCAAGAATTGCAAACCAAAATTATTTATTAATGAAACTTGATTATTTTGAAAAAACTGTCACAACTTTGTTTTTATGATATCAAAATTTCTTCCATGATATTATGTACATTAGTCAAAGTTTAGTGATTACAAATGTACTAATACTTTTTTTTCATGGCTCAACAATCTAAATAGTTTTCTTTCGTGTGTGTGTGACCATATGTATACACATACACAACACAACAACAGTAGTTGTTATCTTTACAATGGAAGGAAGTCTTTGCGATCGGAGCCTTACCGGTTGATGAAGACCTCGACGATGCAGCCCCACACATAGTAGACGAGCTCGTTGTCTGTCTGACATCTCCCACGTCTTGCTGTCGTCCCGAATACGCCTTGTGAAAAGACTTCTAGGGGTTTGACGCTGAGGCCTTCCAGGTCCAAGATGCAAAGTCGGATCCTCCGATCTGTTAGATCGATCAAGCAGACACTTATGCAAGGATAATGAGAATCAGAATTTGCGTGTGTTGTGAGAGCAACGGGTTGATTAGCATCTTAGGATTTGAAGTTTTCGACTTTGATTTTGTTTCGCCGAATGGTGAAGGTAGGCAAGTTAGCTGGTCTGTTGGGGTTGTGGCAGGATGAATATTGTTGACGACAGCGTATTATTACGTTTAGAGTAGGACTAGTTTCCATTTGTGTGGAGATTTGTGCTTGAATGGCATGATTGTGGGGTGATTCAGACTTGGACGCGATCTGGCAGTCCCATGTTCAAAAGCTCAAGGCGCTGCGGAGTGGGAGGTAACAGGGTCAGCCTTTGAATTCCTGGACAATGTATGGCACTATAAGGGCTTAAAGCATCGATTTTGAGAATAATATTTTATATATTGTTTGAATCAATGACCCTGATTCCTGAAGGGATTCACGTCTTTGCAAATTCTATTCACTATCTAAAAATTTCATCTTAATGTTTTGAAGAGACCATAACGTACTATCACCAAACAAAACAAAAGGAACCCACTCCACCGAAATGTCCAAGAAAACCACGAGTACACACACTTCAACAATAAAATGCGGTTCGATCTGCATCGTCACTAACGCAATTTAAGCTGATTACAGTGTGGATCGAAATACGATTCACTGGAGACATCGTTGAGGATAGGACTGTTGCCTCATGGTTGGACTGTGCGGCGAAGATAGTCACAGCCTTACGGAACTACAACTAGCTCGCGCTGTCTATGGACAACTTTCCGGATTCTGGCTAGAAGAGAATCGTTCCCTAAGTGAGAAAAAGATGCACAAATTCACTAGAATAGACTCGGAGGCGCGATTACTATGTTTCAGAACGAGATGGGAACCATCTGTTCACTGGATCCGCCTCCCATACTCTGTTGACCACCACCACCAACTCCTGGTCACCAGCTCCACCATCAACTACAAGTAGATAGTGGGTGCGTTGTCAAAATGAAAAAGGCGCAAACTAGAATATAAAATAAAAACACACCCACACTCACATCTCGGCAGGGTTCGCAATTGCCAAAGAAATGGACTAAAGCTAAATCGTTTTAGCTTTAAAATTACCTCAGCATCGCTATCCCCTCTTGCCCCAAATGAAGCTGAAAACTCGCTCAGCTTCCTTGTTCCTGATCGTTGCATGAGTGCAACACTGTGATGGTGAGCGCACCGAGTACCACACACAAAGAAAACCTTGAATGCTCCACACTGGCGGCCTAAAATGACAGAATTGGGGCTGGTGCAGCTCCAACATCACCACATTGGAGGAAACGACGATGCGAAGGAGTGAAGAAGATGAATATCTGAGTGATCGTTGTGTGCAGGATTGGTATGCGACGGGCTTTACGTGCGCACGACCTTCACACAGAGTGCAAGAGAGAGAGGGAGAGAGCGAAGAAATGGCAAACTAGAGCTGGTGACTTCCCGCTCGCCGTTTCCACTGCGTCGGTGGTGTCGGTGGTGGCGGACCACTGAATGCGGTGTCGGTGCCCCCTTCCCCTCCCTTACCAATGATGACAAGAAGCTCCGAACTGATATGCATACTTCAGTTTAGTATAAATTTGTTTATTCACCCCCAAGCTCATAATTCCTCTGTAATTTTAACCAAATTTTACTTGGGGAATTTCATTGCTGAAACGATTCTGCTCTTTCTCGTGATGTTTTAAATGGAGTAAGTAACAGACGCATTAAAAAAAGAGAGGAAAATAATGATAAATTGTTTCCATTTGAGAGCATCATCACCCAATATTTATTTAAGTGTTTTTAAAATTTTACATGTTGAAATTCTAAATTCTAAACTTACATCTATAAATGTGTGTGAGTTATTTAATTTGTGGGTCCCTTGGATGATCCTCACTTAAAATCTCTTTATTACATTATAGGTGTCGTCAAAAGTATTTCAAAGAGATTTAAAGTGCACTTTTTACAAAATCTGTTTTTCTTTTATTGGATTTAGATGTATTTCTTTAAAGATATCAAAGATAAAATACAGTTGTCAATGATCCTGATGAGGTATGTAATTGTAATTTCTTCAATGAGAATCTTAAGCAAAGGGGTAGTAGCATCCATTCTAAAAATTCTTCTTCTTTAACAAATTTTATTGGATTTTTATTTTTTTATTTTAAATCAACAAAATCAAACTAATATGAAAAAAGATACAACAATAAAAAATTTATTAGAAATGTTATCTACTGATTACTATGCAACAATAAGTATCTTAAATTTAAAAGGTTCCATTTCTTTTCCATGTGTCTTATTATGGATTGATTTTGCTGAAGGTGGTGGAAGTTGAAACTGTACTGTTTTTTGTCTTATTACTTTTTAATTAAAAATCAATGATGAATGTGCTATACAGAAATATTTTAGGTGTCTTTTAGATAATTTTAAGAATCTAACGTAGAACTTTTAATTTTAAAGAATTCCATACCAAAACATTAAAATTTAGATGATTAGTACATTTTTACTAAGTTCTTTTGAGAAAATTCTCAACTTACAAACCATTTAAATATCAAGTGCAATCTTCAAATACATTGCATAGTACAAATAAAGTCAAGTCTTGTTTTACTCTTTTTTCCAAGATCCAAATCCACCCACAAACCAATTTAAAACATGTTTATTACAACACTTAAAAAATATATATGTTTACACACACACACACACATAATCTCATCATAGTACACCCAGTGGGCTGGAGTGAATTATTGTTCTGAGCGTAAGAGAGCTCTGTATAATGATCTCATGCCTGACTGAGAGAACTGGCTGCCTGTGATCAGGGTCATTTCATTCGTGGCACAATGCTGACTTGATCTATTTTGACTCTTTCCATGAGTATTTCATACAAACAGTGAGGACTGAATGTCTCGTGCAGCGCTGGATACAGTGTCAATTGCAGATCAATGCTGTCCCAGCAGTGGTTACTATCTTTCTGAGGAATTAGCAGTACCTGTGTCCCAGTCTTGCTGTTCTTTTCTTTGTCTCTCGTTTCATATGCGTATGGTTTCAGGACTTCGAGATGTCATCTGAGCCTCTAATCCTTACATAAGGAGAAATCCGCCGAAATTGACCTCATGGAGAAGTCTTGAATGCTGCATGACTCCAATATTGAAGGCCAAATGGAGTTTGGTTTTGTTAAATGAACTTTAAATTCAAGTTGGATGGTTACTTCCGAATGTGATTCACCAGTTCATATATGCATGACTGTCTCAAGATGTATTGTGCACTCGGTTGTTTACACAACTAAGAAACTCGTTGATCAGCACATTCACTCTATTTGTCTCATAAATCCCGAGCACCACAGTAGGCGGCAGATTGAAAAAAAAAACTTCTTGTAGTAGGTAAATTTTGCCAAACAGAAGAACATTCGGGGTTCTGACAAGAATCTCGCAACGATATCCAGTTGAAAGGTAGCGAGCTCAAATGGTAAGATCCATGTTGAATTATACACAGGAATACTGTTGGATGCCTACCACGACCAAAATTGACTAATTTGAAGTTCTGTTGCCGCAGTTCGGTTCTTCTGATTGCACGACTTCCTCATCATCCAGGGCCTGCAATTGGACAAAGCCAACAAATCAACCAACTTAGTCATATATTTAAGGTTTAATGTTTTAGCTTGCATGTATCCCCCCGATCGTTGCAACGTGGCTGCTGGAGCTGAACGATAGCTAGGTAGATCATTTCTCGCGATGCCCAGTCATTGGAGGTTGCCAGGGGAGGGGATCGCTTGTGCCAACCGACTTCCTCGGGAGATGGATTAACAGCCACACTACTATCAATTCTTCATAAAAACATACACATGTTTGAAGAATCAACGCCAAGGTGGCAGATTCTCCATTTCGCAATGTGAATGGAACCTGTTCTGACGCTTCGCAAGAACATACCTTTTCAATTGTGGGGTCGTCTGGTACAGTTGTTGGTACTTGTTGGTCGAGTAACCCTCTCAAATCTGACCAGTCATCCATTTCTTGATTGAACTTCTGGCATTGGGGAGTCTTCCTGCTAATGAGAATCAATCAGATGTTACCATCAAAGTTCAGAAATGGACATTTTCACAACTGCATGAAAATAATCGGTCGAAACGAATGAGGTTTGCTTGTAGGATCAGTTGCAAGCTTACAAGAGAGGAGACCACACTTCGTTTTCTTGGATCTTTTGGACGTCAATGAAGGGTTTTACTCTGGGCACCACCCTGTTGGGCAGATCTACTTCGTGTTTCACCACTCTCCTCAACTTGTTCTGGCTCACCACTTCCACATCCACATTGAATGTTGCCGAAACAGAGCGGTGATCTGACAATTTGCAGTCTTCTCTAGAGTAGTTCAGTTGGTGAAGGCCCTGGCCATACCATAACACTCGATCGCACCTGCGAAATAAGCAGCCCACATGACGAGAATGAGCTTATGATGTCGATCGTTCACAGCGGTGATTGACTGCAGTATCTTAAATTAAGGAATTGAATGGAAGCGAAAGGTCGATATTTAAATGTCTCGTCGATTGATACCAAGCAGGTGATCGTCGCTTCGATGACGAGCCAGTTGATCCTTCACCAGAGCTATAATTATCCGATCCGTTCATGTACTTGTAGGTGGGGGGGAAATAGATCGGCCCTTCCTGCCAGTCTGGGAATACTCGCCCTTCGCTTTGCTCCAGCTTGAGCTACAAAATTAGTCACAACTTAGTGCCACGCAAAAATGAAATAAAGTAAAGAACTGTTATACCACGTTGTAAAGCTCCCCCTCGCAACGACGTGAGTAATCAGGTTCTTTGGATAGGTAGAATGTGTTGAAGTACCTGATCCACACGTAATAGCGTTGCCCAATCGCCTTGTTTCACCAGCGTCCATGTTTCCTTGTCGGGGAGTGCCAGCCGGTAATTCAAGTCTCCGAGCCATATCACGCGACTACAAAGAGGAAACCATTAACTTCAGATTCCACTACAGGAACATATGCTTCGCAAATATAAGAAACGTTGCACGAGTTTTCTTACTCATGTGCTAAGATCGTCTCAGGGAGCTGAAGTCCTAAAAGCTTTGCCAAACGAGGAAATCGTGTCCTGCGAAGAATCTCGGCGACGTCGGCGTTCCTGCGCAGTGCATCACCCTCCTTATGGCCAGAAGTTAAGTGTGAGCACACAAAGCAAAAGCTCGTGTGGTGAAGGAACATGCTCACGGATACGGCACCCTACAACATTCCAATGGCAACACATTACTTAGAACGTCACGTCAAGTCACGTCCTGTAAACCCGCCGTAAGAATCCAATTTCATCAACTTCGAACAAGATAAGCGATCCTTTGAGTCATCGAACACATACCTTGTTGCCGAGGTGATTCATTAGTCCACATCCCACAGTTGATACCTGCACATTGTGTACCTGGCGCCAAAGGCTGGAACGAATCCAGACAATAATGAAAAGTCCCACCATCTGCTTGCTCGCTACTCGTAAGTACTGATGTGGGTGTTCTGTGGAAAAACCATTCCAAGGGGAGCTTGAAGCTGCGATACTTGCTCCATTCTGACTAGGGTATCTTTCTAATGAGAGCTTGGCCACGGAGTGTTTACAATTGGTAGGATTCTTGTTGGTGTGAACAAAACTTTCTTCTGAAGTGGGTGAACTTTGTGAATTTCCTTGAAATCTTGGACTAGCTACTTCTGCAAGCAATCTATCAACATCCGACACCTCAGGTACGTCCGTGACTATCACATCGATGGGATTGGATGGCGATGGGATCGGCACACTCAAGCACTTCACGAGACCGGAGCTTTTGGGTTGTCCGCAAATTTTGTTCAGAGTCTTTCGAATCTTGGCCTCCCACAGTGCCGCCGGACAGTCATTCTCAACGCAGAGCACATTGTTGGCATTCAATGGCACTACTTCCTGGAAGCTGGAGTTCGATCAAAATATACAGTGCAGTTTATAATATGTTCTGATTGGCAGCTTCCTGTGGAATCCTAAACTGCAAGAAACCTGGCGAATACAAATTGAAGTACAAATCGTCACTTAACAAATGAAGAGTAAATTTATTTGGGAGTAGGAACTTACCCGAAAACATAAATATCGGCGGGGTTGGAAGTGTTAATCCAGCCATCCAAGTCCAGATCATCGGGAGGAGGCTTACCGGCAACATTCCAGGTGTGCACATCGATTCTGCTCACATTAGTTTTCCAAGTACAGGGGTCAGCCTTGACGGGCAGATTGCAAGCCACATGCAATCAACTTTTCTGGTGCAAAGGGGCATAAGTCAGTGGCATCCAAGTTTGATTACCGATATTGGTGAGTATCAATGAATTGTTGCCGCAAAGTCTCGGATTGTCCCCGCACTAATGACCTCGGATTGGACGACGCTGTCATCGTTTCAAGGTCTTTGAAGTCCACATCAAACTTCTCCTCTTTCCCATCTGGTGAGTCAGTATTGAGCGCGTTAGGTGAGAGATGTCAATTCAAGCATAATCAACGTGTTCTAATCTACTCCTATTACAATGTTCAAATTTGATTCAAAAGAGATGCAATTCTGTTTCCAATCAAGTGCATTACGAATTCAAGACAATATAAATATAAATCAATCGGAGGAAGCAATTCATTACAAAAGTCATTTTGCTCATTTGGTTTGTGGTCCATATGATCCATGTCCACATCATGACTGAACCCTGAGCTCCCAGTGTTGCTGAGAGCACCCCATTTTCGTATCAGCTGTCGTAGCCATACCTACAAGCCACCAGACTACAGTATTAGTGGAGCTCCTGTATCTGAACAGGTTTTTCTGGGACAGCAGGTGCGGCTTGTAGAATAGAAGTCCGTCAACTGAATTACCTCACGTCGACGAGGTGTCCCCTGGAATGGTGTGGTGGCCATGTCTCCTACAAACGTTTTCTTGGTTTTTGAATCAGCTGCTACAATCTGAACCCAATTCGATACACAAACAGTCAAATTGCTTCATCTTTAAGATTGAAACACATTTTTGACACTAGCAGGCAATAAAATCGAGTTCAACAGACCAATTGTCTTTCGAGTATGACGTCAACAAGGATGGATACATCTCACAATCGGCACAACAAAATAAACAGGCGTCAACACCAGCACGCAGAGTTAGAATTGATTGGATCAATCCACCAGGAATCAACAAAAAATCTCGTTCCAGAAACGTGGAAGTTCGATAAGCAAGTTGAACCAAGGAACTGGATACAGCACCATCTTTACAAAACGAACATTATTTCGTGAGTGAGTCTATCTAGTGGAAATGCCTTTTCTTATCACTAAACTGAGGAATCAGTGAAGGTGACCGAATCACTGAGTTTTAGACTTCCATCTACTTTTCCTTCAGAAATATCAATCTGCAACTCTTCAGACAACACAAGAATTTGTTCTCCATTTAGATGTGTTAGGCGTATGAGAGACAACAACTAAATATCGGACCTCCGCAGCATGGGCTTGAGCAAGTCGTGCAAACCGGATTAAATGGATTTTTCGGCTGAGACCTACAAATCTCGACATATCAGCCTCGAACGAAGTCTGGAATGTAGAAAGAGATACCGCTGGATACCGATTGTAGCCAACAATTAAAAATTTGTAGTTCACGAGTTAGACTTTCAACTTACAGGCAGGTGTTAGCAACAACTTTCGGAGCTTCAGGAACTGCACACGCTCCTCAAGCCAGGAATTAGTTCTCGTAATTAACTGATGCTAGATCCCTTCCAAGAAATTACGTACTTTCCTCAAAAACTAATTTTGAAGAATGCTGACTTAGAATTCAATATGATGAGCAGAGTCTCATTTCATGTTAATCCTGACTATTAGGCTTGTATCATTTTGATGCTTAGTCTACCACAAGAGAATTTCCACCGTGTCAATGGCCGTCAATGCAGCGATTGAGTGTTCTATCTAGGACTGCACTGTATTATGAGAGTTTTAAAAATAGAACATACAATGAGCCGAACATGGCCCAACCAATCCCATCGCTATCAAAACCGTCGAACTGTGTAGTGAAGCCAGCTGCGTGATGACTGTAACAGCAGCTGATCAATAATTTTGAGAAGCTAGCAGTGAGTACGTGATTTGCATGTAACCACATACGAATCCAGCCACCGTCCACGCATCGCTTTCACAATGACTAAAGAAACAGTGGCGTTTAAAGATTTTGCAACGTCTTAAGTTACATGCAGGTGCTTTTTTTTTTTTATTGTGGAAACTTCGGCATGCTTTCCAGTAAAGCTTTCATTCTCCTTCGTTGTTTTAATTTAGACAATATTTCCTGTTTCACACAAATAGTACATACTAGATTTTGTTTTTTTTTTCAAACAGTGACATGATAACACTGTGGAACACTAAGCATTCAACGCCTTCCGAAAGAACACTGGCAACTTTGTCCTTACAATCCAAAATGGTACATAGAGCTGAAATTGCCAAAGTGGGAATGGGTCAGAGGTTGAAATCAAGTCGTAATCACAACCTAAAAAGCCACTGCTTTCGAACTACTGTAGACATATCTGCTGGGGGCCACTGTCATCTCCCCTTATCCTTTTCAAGTTTCCAGCCATAAAGGATGCCAGCAATTGCAAGTGAAAACCACTTTTCTTCATCACACCCACGCAACATGAGCAAGAAGATTGACACAAACAAATCAAGCATCTCTCTCTTGCATGTCACAATCAATAATGTGAACTTCATTCAAGAACCCATAGTAAAAGTATCACATAAGATCTGATGGACATACTTACAACTGTGATAAGGTGATGGAAGAGACCCCATCAGGTAATCGTTTCGTGATCAGCTGTGTATAGAATTGAGTCTATGTTACTTACTGGTGACAATAATTGTAGTAGCTTATGTGTGACGAAGCGTATAAGCACACGACCTCACTCTCAGGTCAAAGTACGGTAGCTCAAGACTTTCACAGGACAGTCCGGTCAAAACACAATTGCCAGAATCTTCTTGAAAGAGAATTCTAATGAAATTCATTTCACATGTAAGACGCAAAACAACCTAACGTTCGACACTGAACTAATTACACCTGATAACTGCACTACGAAGAAATTTTGGAACTCAAACTGAAACGATAACAACACAAACTGTTGAAACAAATTCAAATCAGACCCAAGAACATACAACATTTACAATACGAACCGTCATCGAAGCATACAGCATACACAAGGCAATCCTTCGCCTGCAATAAACTTAGGTACCTAAGACAATCCTTTCTGCCTCTTCAAACATTGTGTGGAACGCATAAAATATGGGCTTGCGAGAACCTTTCAATCTGATGGCAAGACCATCATATTTTTCACTTGAAACAAGGTGATAAATACAGTGAATATACTGAATATTCACACCCTTTTGATCTCCCCGGGACAGACTGCACACGAGATGAAAGGGCCACCCATAATATGATCGTCACCTTTATTGTAGACATGTACACATACAACGATTTAAATTCAACTTATATCGACAAAGAAGAAACTAAATGGGACAACAAAGTACCTGAAAGACAGCCTTCCAATCAACTTTGAGGGAACAACCATCACTTTAGCATCCTCCTCAATAGTGAGCGCAATTTCAATATTGTCTCGGTCTACTCAGGGCAGAGGTATTTTGCTGATGTGAAGTACTTCACTTGAAACAGAAGCAATAATGCTGTAAGACAGTGAACCATAAAAGCTTTCCAATTCAATATATCGTATGAAAGCAAACGCCAATGTTAATTGAGCGTGTCCTAGACAGAGCTAACGATCTGATTGAAACGTCGCCTTATGTCAGTATTCTTCATTCGAATGTGTACCCACAATGTCAAATATCTGCGACGACTCCGTCAAGCAGCGAACGTACATACGCATTTTTGGTCATCTAAGTACGTAAAAAGAAACATCAGAATTTACGACCAGACTTTGTAGTTTGTGAGAGAAGACAGAACAAGAGCACCCACACGTTAAGCACAAAAGAATGATAATAAGTAATCACTAAAAACAACACATTTCGAACGTGCAAACCTAAAAAGTATATATAAGTCGATCCCCACCCCACGTTACATGAAGGCTTCACTTCGCTATGAATTTCAACAAAACAATTTGAATCAAGATTAGAGCCTAGTTTTCTAATACACTGGGTAGTTTTCAATATTTAAACTCGCCCTCGCAAATTATCCAGGCTTTCTTTCCCTTGTTTGACATCGGTGCTCATTATTGTGAGCTCCTCTATCAGTTGATGTAAAGAGTTCAATTAAATCATGAATAACAGCATCCAGCCATGATGACATGACAGCCAGTTCCAACTTGCAAGTGATGTGCTAACGAAGATGAAACTTCTCCGTGTGTCACTATCTCTATTCAGGATGGTGCACCTTGCTTAAGCCTAAGCTAGTCTGATCCATTTGAGTAACGTTTCTTTACAAAAGAGGCTTCGCTTGAAGATGGGACAAATTCTAGTGAAGGGACGTTCCTCCTGCAACAAAATTACCTTCCGCCTCGAAGTCACTTTTGTGAAACCAGGGGGAACTAAATCTTGCTGTAACAATACCGCTAGAAATGAAATAGTAGTCACTATGAAGGTCAAATCGTATCAGAGCATTGCAGCAAGTGCTGGGGAAGAATCGTACTTTTACTTGTGTGAGAAACATCCCTTGATGTACTTTCGGTGATTGGGAATCGCCATTGTACACTCAACTTGAGACACCGTGGATTTATGTTAACTCATAGTGCAAGCTATGATGTGAACAGTGCACTAGGTTGTAGCTGCCCCTCCAAAAAATGTTGTATTTGAATGTAATAAGGATATTTAGTTCATGAAAGCGCAAGAAATTGCCTATTCAGCTAGTAACGGATTGACGAAGCCGAAAGCATAAATTGTCACGGTCTTTTGATATAAGTTGTGACATTCAACTCATAAATTACCCTAAATATTATTTGAAGCTACCACCCTGAAGCAAAACTGCACGAAAACAATGCATATCTATTACAGTGATAAGAGACCCAAGGAGACATACTGATCTTCGAGTGTTTAGGAAACATTGGGAAAATTGAGCCCACATTTTGCCTGTTATAATGAAGGTTCCAAGAAGACTGCACTTCCTGCAAGATGAACGTGGCCTACATCAGAACTCAAACCAACTCTATAAACCACAAATTCTAGCTTGGATATTCTACAAATAATACGATTACTCCTACATAACAAATGCGAGCAAAACACGCTATTAAGTGTCAAACTGTTTTTAGAGATCAACACTGACTTAACTGCTGAGTGATAGCATGGTTTTGCAATGTCACAGGGCATTAAGACGTTTCAAAAGTTCACTCCATCAATCCACTACCTACACTTGATTTGGTTTCCTTTAAAAGGTCAAAGTGCACGAGTGTATATGAGTTTTTGGTTAGCCTGCAACTAAGACACAAGTTGTCAACAACATGCATCTCCAAAAACAACTGATCAGTTGCCAAATTCACTATAATAGTCATTACCTTCTAGACGATGGTTTAGAGCTTAATTAGTGTTGATTGAGGACTGTAAACTGCAGACGATTCAACAAGCAAATAATCCAGTCCAATAAAACACAAATAGAACAGGCGTTTACAAGCAATTGTTGAAGCGTTCAGCACAATACATAGTTACGTGCCACGAAAGAAAAACCATTAAAAACAATACAAGCAGCGATATAAATTATTTTATAACACGAAATATTTCACGAGATTATTAACCCAAAGTATAAGTATCGATCTCCTAATCCAAGTCAATCAATTGAGACACATTCTTAACGGACTTTTCTAGACGGTTGTAGAATTAAGAACACGTTGATAGCAAAACATGGCTTGGATCGGATGTGTTGATCAAGCAATTCTTCTGGTGGACCCGCCTTCTCCTGCTGTCTAAACAACTTATTGGTATCCCAACCCTACATGCAGTTACAAGAAATTTCTCCAAATGCAATAAGAACACAAGATCCCATGATCCTATTATTCAGCTGAAACGCAAACACTAATGGTCATCAGGGAAATAACTAGCAACTAATGTTGAATAAAAATCTTCCACAAGTTACAGAGGATTACATGATTCATTCTCTCAAATTCGCGAATACTGTGCCAGAGTAAACCTAAAGGTCTTACTGAACAGATCCTACAATGAAGTATAAAACTGTACCAATGCACGCTCGAACACAAAACCTTGGAAAAAACGTAACAATGCAACACTTAGCTCTAAGCATTGACACTTCATTATGCAAAGAAAATAATTCTGATAAAATGCAGCCTACTTCTGAATCTGCTCACCTAAGACTAGTTGCAATGCAACAAGAAGCAATACCTGCTATCTTCGACTGGGCTGAAACATGGCGCTCTGAACGGGCTACTTCTCAATTACACAAAATACCAGATGTCCATCACACCATAATGTCCTTAACACAATCAGAGCCATTCAGTGACCACCGACAAAGAGTAACCATGAAGAAGAGCCTTGTTTGGATCAACCCTCGTAACCACGACATTGCAATAGGCGTCTCGCGAAACAGACAGCAAGTCAGAGTGCGGGACGCAATTCCATGAGTTCCAAGCATCAGCCCCAGAAAAAAAAAAAAGGAGTCTCACAACCTCCAACTCACGTCAAATCCTCCGTAAGATCACTGTGCTCCTCTCCGACCCTCACGGCCGGAGCGGAATCTATAAAAACTTAAGGAGCGTACAGCTCACAGCTGTGTCAAAATCAGATTCGTATTTATAATCCCGACACAAATCAGGACATGAAATTCGGTATGGCTTCAAAGACTCCAGGCATGCGGATATTAGGGCTAAATGGACAGTCTCTATGCCTATTGTCACAACACATTGGACAACGAATGAACCGGAGCAGTGTTGAGGACCTCTACCGAATCTCTCCGATTCCGGGTATCTAAGAACTATCTGCTCCGCTTCGCTAACACGATTTAAGGCTATGATCAAGACATTGTGCTGTGCGGAGGAAGACATACAACGATTCCACTGCCATTGTACTTCAATTTCGTCGGCTCAAGCGGTTTTAGTCCATCAGGTAAGGAACTCACAAACAAGCTTATTAATTCAGTATTAAGAGATTCCATCTAGCATTTGGCAACGAGTCCCATTTTGATGTTTCGTCGCAATTCTGTTTCGAGTTACTCTTGCTACCAATGGATTGAGGATTGAGTCATTAGTGGATATACTGGGATGTGACGAGTTTATAATCACTCAGGTTTTGAGTGAAGAGCAGAGTAGGTGCGAGGGTTCTCCTGAGTTCATTATTCGTTCCAGTGCCGTTCGCCCAGTAGAGGAATTTCTCGACGAAGGACGGGTTTGGAGCGAGAGCAATTTTGGAATATATGGCTTGTGTGGGAGATTCATTAGGGCGAGAGGCACAAAAGTTTGTGGGTTTTAGTGAATGTGGAAGATTGCTACTGTGGCGATGGTGATTTTGTCCGACAATTCTAGCTGTTTCGTGAAATTGTTCCAAATTGCATTTCATCTTGCCGTATTTCTGACTCGAGTTTGCCCATTTGACCAATAAGGTTCAATCATAATACCTTCTCATTCAGAAGGCTTTCTCGAGTTTACACTCGCGTGTTATTAGTGTTGTCTCTGTATTGCATAATAGCCGAATTCAAGAAGCAAGGTGCGGATGTAGGTTTATCACCAACATTTGATGTGGAATTGTGATTGTGCTCTATATGGCTATCTTTGTTGCATTTTCTGCTTAGGGCATCTGCAGCGACTGTTCTAGGTTAAATTGCGCTTCTTGTATACGACTAGATGACAGCAGCATTGGACTTGTTTGTTGTGTCGTCGCATTCTCCGCACTTTACTTGGTTTTCCATCTCCTATCCGCAATCTTGTATAGTTCGCACGGGGAGTAATTGTCATTAAGTTTCCCGTTGACAAGAAAGTTTGAGCTATGCATGCTTTGCCTCGCTGCCGCGACTACCTAGATCCTCCACTCTCTACAATGCTTTGTTGGGGCTGCTCATTCATCTGAAATTTGGTTTCTTTTTTCCACAGTGCGAGAATGGCAGCAACTGGTGCGAGACCTAGTGGGGGAAAGAAACGCGGCAACGATGAAAATATTGCTAAAGCTGCAGGCGCTGTTGTTGCCGGCGGCATAGCTTGGAGCTTGTTCAGATCCATTACTGGTAGAAGAAATCAACAGGTGCACAGCCAACAGTCGACCTCAATGCAGTCTTTCACAAATTTGTTCTTCAAAATTATAATGTAAGCCAGCTCCTAGCGAGATTCTAAATCGAATTATTGTGATCATAGGATGTGGATGTTGCGTCGAGCAATGATGTGGAACAGAAGGTAGGAGATACACAAGCTGCTATTCGAAGCAAAACTCCGCATTTCGGACACAAGTCAGCTGGCAAGACTGTACAAGTGCGTGACGGCGACACTCTGTGGGGGATCGCGAGAAAGTACAATGTATGCATTCTTCTTAATCTTTCGTTCGTGAAGAAGTTTATCACCATTATCGTTAAGTCTTTCATGTTCTCTTTCTCTCATTCTGGTGTAACATACTTGGTGTAGTGAATATATCAAGTTTCTATGTAGATTTATTGAACATATACTGGCATGTTGCTGAAAACAGGTTTCGGTAGATGCGTTGATGGCAAGTAACGGAATCAGCGATGGAGACAGTATAGTTGTTGGAGAAATGATCGTCCTTCCTAAGGCCCTAAAGCCTTAAACTTAGCCCTGACAAGAAAAGTTTTAGATGTTTTATGAAACCCTGTAGTAGAGAATTGTTAGGATAGCAACTCTACTTGTTGGTGTTTGCACAAAACTTTCGGTGTAGTCTTTTCTGTGGCTTCCAGCTACTCGAGAACATTTTATTTTACCTGCATTGATATCATTAGGTGGTATAATAAAGATACCTTCTAAAGCTGCTGTAAAGCTGTTGAAGCCTGAATAAGGAATTCGCTGTCTTCAAACTTGTACAACACTTTGTTTTTATCTGTGATTTTGTACGTGCAAGAATGATCATTGCAAGAAGAGGAATCAGTAAACTGCTATACTGGTAAGTAGCTACTTGGGTTATGATGAGTTTTCATCAGATGCCATGGACGTCAGTCGAAGAGCAGTTGCACAGCTCGGAAGCTTTTGGCGTTCTCACTCGGACTCGTGGAGAACTTTGAGGCTGGAGTATTTTGAGAAGGAAAAGGATTGTGTGAACTGTAAATGATTGTGCTTGGAGGTGGTCATTCATTATTCGTGAATCTCTTGAACCTTAATTGCTGGAAGGATAGCCAGCAGCATGATTTTGAATTATCTGCTGTTTTGTATGGTAACCAAGGTGGCAGGGGAAGATATACGATTTTGATACGAACTGGGGTGGTTCTTCCACAGAAATTCCTTTCAGTCTTTTAGTTCCTTCTCTCCTGCCAAGGTATTTTATGCCTTGGCTCAGTTTTTAGAATATTGTGTGGAAGTATTGGATGTATGTTTTGAAGTATTGTTCTATTCCTTTAGAGCTATCCTTGATATTGTTTTTTCTTGGATCGCCTATTTATGTGGATCATTTTCATGTACCAATTTTTTTACTTACTCTTTGTCTTCTTCATCTTCTTTGATTTCTTCCCTCTCTCATTGTTTTCTCTTGTTTTTTCATATTTTACCATATTTTCACCATATTTTTTACATTCCATGCTATTCAAAACACCACTTTGTGATTATGAAAATTCCTTGAGATGATTGATATTGGATTCTTTTAGTTCTATACTTTTCATATATATATATATATATATATAGTGCGTACTTTGTTAAAGTAAATAAATAAAAGTGTAAATAGAATAAGTTACTTTATATATGATATTATCTTAAGAAAGTTGCCAATGATCATGGGATTAATTCTTAGTACATCACTAGCATTTTAAGTTACATCAATGATCAATTTTAATAAGAATTAATCAATAAGTTACATCATTGATGTATTAAAATTGTGCTTTTATGTGCTTAAGTTCTTAAAAGTTTTTCTTATAGTGATAAGAGATGTTTTGTGAGATTAGAAGTGATTAAAGAAAGACAAAGCTAGTATAAGAAGTTTAGATAGAGTATAAGACTTGTAAGAAATCCTATAAGTACAATTGAAAGTGATTAAAGAATAAAATCACTAGTTTACTCACAAAGAAGATATTTTAGATTTCTAAGATAACACCTTTTTGTTGATTTTGAAAGCTCTATTTTTTTTTTCTTGATTTTCTTTTATACAATTCTTTCTTAGATATGGCTGCAAGTAAGGTTGAGAGCTTGAAAGTAATTAAGAAGTTTAAAAGTAAAAAGTTTTATCATTGGAAGAAAAAATTAGAATTTTTATTAGCTTCATTGGACCTTTGGGATATTGTTGATAAAAGTAAAAAGCATCTAAGAAACAATGCTAATATCAAGGTGAAGAAAGAATACAAACATTGTGAAATGAAGACTTTTGAGTTCATTGCAACAAATCTTGATGATGCCAACTTTTCACATGTAATTGCTTACAATGGATCAACAGAAGCATAAAAGACTCTTTGTAATATCTACAAGAGTAGAAATCTTACCAACATTCTATAGATAAGGAGGAAGTTTTTAATGGTAAAGATGGAAGTAAGAGATGATCTCATGGTTCATGTCACTAAAGTAAAAGCACTTGCAAACCAAGTAGCATTTATTGACATATCAATTGTCAATAAAAAAATTATATTAATATTACTCATGAGTCTTTCAAAGTCCTATAACTATCTCATTATGGCATTGGAATCTATGAATATGAAGGAACTTATTATGAATTATGTCATGTGAAGACTTAGACATGAATTGACCAAGAAGAAAGAAAAGAAGCTTCAAAGTGAAGATTTGGCTCTATTCTCAGGATAAAGTAAAAATAGCTATTTTTATCAATATAATAATTCAAAAAGTAGTATAAAAAATTTCTATATTTGTAGAAAATAAATTTACTTTGCAAAAAAATACCATAAGGCTAAAAAATGAGATAGAGAGAATATAAATAATCCTTGTAATAGTTTCAGTGGAAATAATTATTCTTTTATGGCAAGTGAAAAAGCCTCCATGGTTGACATGTCTAAGTGGATTATAGATTTGAATGCTACTAAGTACATGATACCGTATAAATTTTCATTTGACATTTATGAAGAAATTTCAACAACAAAAATTTGGTTGAGAGAAAATGGCATGGTGTAAGCCATTGGAATTGGCTCTATTGCGGTAGAGATTTTTGTAAACGACCAAATAAAGAGGATCAAATTGAAGATAAATTCCAAACTTGTCTTCAATTTGAATTTCATTTGAATATTAAAAGCATAAAGAAGCTCTAATTCATAGTAAATAACTTAGATCTTGGTCAATTTAGCCACAATGCCATGATACTTAGTTGTAAAGGTTGTATCCAATGCAAACAATAAAGAGATTCATTTCCAAGTAGAATTGCAATACATGCTAGAAAATTATTGGTGGTTGTACATTCTAATGTTTGTAGATCAATGGAGATGCCATCAATTAAAGAAGAAAGCTACTTTGTCACATTTATTGATGATTTTTTAAGGAAGATGTGGATTTACATCCTTAAAGCAAAGAGTGAATTTTTTTTAAGGTTTAAGAAGTTTAAGACATGAGAGGAGAAGCAATATGAATATAAGATTAAAATACTACACACAAATAATAGAAGTGCATATATATCAAAGTATTTTGATGGATTCTTAAAGATTCAAGGCATTGCAAGACAAATCTTTACTTTATACATTCTACAACAAAATGGACTTGCAAAAATATAGGAATTTAAAAAGAATAGGTACCCTACAAATGCACTCATATGAATGATTCTATAAGCAGCAAAAAATCTTATATTTCACATATAAGGATTTTTGAATGCATTGCTTATGTGAAGGTATCTAGTTGTATAAAATTCAAACTTAATGAAAAATATATAATATGTGTGTTTTTTGGATATTGTGAAGATACCAAGGCATGTAAGCTAATGTGTTTAGAAACCAAAAAAATCATTAAGAATTGTGACATAGAATTTTTGGAGTATAAGAATGCTTGTAAGTATTTAAAGATGTGTCTAAATAAGATTAATGGTGTGTTTGTAGATACATCTTCAATTTCAATAAAGAAAAAACTAGAACATGATGATAATAAAGATGGTAGAAATATAAATTATGATGAAGAGCCAATGAAAGTAGATTAGAGTATGTCTACAATTACTAGAACCAATAATAAAGATAATCACAATGTTGAAGATGATGATGATGAAGAATACCAACCTTTAAATGTGAAGCAAAAAGTTTTTTTTAAAAAAGAAGAAGCTTGCAAAAGACCTTGGACTGCTTGAAAGTGAATTTTCATCAAGTCAAAGAAGATATTCTATGATAGAAAGAAAATAACTTGGTGAATGATAGAAGAACCATATCTTTCATTAAATAAATGAAAACCATGCCAATGTTGTATTTTTTGCTAATCCATTGACTTTGTGTAATGTAATGAAGTCCACAGATGCAATAAAGTGGAAAAATGCTACAAAAAATAAAGTACAAATCACTCATGGACAATAGAACATAGAAATTGACTCAATTCCTATCAAATAGATCTTCAATTGGTTGTAATTGGATGTTTAGAACCAAAAGGGATACAATAGATAATATTATAAGATATAAGACTAAATTGATTGCAAAAAATTACTCACAAGTTGTTGGTGTTGATTTCAATGAGACATTTGCTCTAAGGACTAAATTCATAAATATTAGAAATATTATAGAAATTGGAGCAACAATGAACTTAGAGATGTATCAAATGAATATGAAAACAACTTTCTTAAATAGAAACTTGAAAGAAAACAACTTTATAGATCAACTTCAAGGATTTATAGAAGAAGGCAAATAACATCTTTTTTACACATTGAAAAAGTCTTTATATAGGCTCAAGCAATCACCAAAGGCATAGTATTAATATATTGATGCATTCTTTGTGAATGAAGGATTTGTAAAGAGTGAAGCAAATCATTCTATGTATGTGATGCAATCAAATAAATTTTTATTGATTGTCATCTTTTATGTTGATGATTTGATCATCTTTACCAATACTTTAAAGATAAAGAATTGATTGAAGATAAAGTTAAAAAAAGATTATAAGATGAGTGATTTGGGAGAGCTTCATTATTATTTAGGAATGGAGTTTATGAGAGATTGTGCTAAAAAGACCATTACAATGAATCAAAAAATATATATTAAAGAAGTATTGAAAAGATTCAATATGGACAAGTGTACGCCTATTGGAACACCTTTGGAAGCCAAATTGAAATTGATAATATTGATAAATAAAGATTTTGGTGAAGTTGAAGGTGAAATGTAAGATGTTCCATATAGGGCAGCAATACTCACTTATATATGCAATGGTTGGCACAAGGGTGGATCTTGCATATGCAATGAGTGTTGTGAGCCAACACATGTAAAAGATTAGACCAATCTATTGAAGAACCATCAAAAGAATTATAAGATACTTAAAAGGTACTTTGCACTTCAAATTGTATTTTAAAAGTGAAATTAATAACTAACTATGTATTTGTTGTTGGAATAAGAGCTATTTTATAGAATTGCAAGAGATAACAAATAATTGCAAGGTCAATAATAGATGCAAAGTATATAGCAACAAGCCATAGTGCAATGGAAGCAATATGGTCAAGATAATTTTTGGGTGACATTGAAGTAGTAGAACTTGAAGCAACGTCAATGGAGTGTGACAATCAAAAACATCTTATTTTTATAAAGAATCCAAAGCATCATTCAAAGACTAAATACATTGATATTCAACATCACTTCATAAGAGAGAGGATTAAAATGGAAATGATTGTTATAAAATATTGTGCAATAAAAAATATTCTTGCTGATTTATTCATAAAAATATTCGTAAAGAATGGACATGACATGTTGACAAAAGCATCAAGATTGAAAGCCTTTGATTAATAGTAAAATAAAAGTGTAAAAATAAATAAAAATAAAAATAAAATTATTTACTTGGTAAAGGATATTATCTTATATAAGTTGTTAATAGTGAAAGGATTAACTCTTGGTATATGGAAAGGTCATCCTATAGATATAGGACAAAATTAAGAGCTAAGAGTCAAAATCAAGAGAATAAAATATCAACTAAAAAATATTCAAAGATTAGTAAGAATAATTAGTGTTTGGCATATGCTATCTTCTTGGTTAGTGATATGCCAAAAGATCCTAAGATCATATGATATTCTTTTAGTAAGTTACATTCAAAGAGATCATAGGATTATATATGTAAAAATCAAAGAATAGAAGTTGTTTTTTAAGACAACAACCACCACCTATAAATAATAGATGTTGGAAGTGAAAGATATTTTATTCCATACTCTCTTTCTGTGCAATCTTACTAATGCTATGTATTATGACTTCAAAGTTCTTTTTTTCCAATAAGCTTGGCATTTTTACAAATATACCTAATAAAATGTCTTTCTTTCCTTGTAAGATTACTTTTGCAACAATCTATCAACTACTAGTTTATTTTGTGGAATGCAATAGCATGTTGTGGTATAAGAATTGGACCTTGTCTTCAAAAATGATGACTGAGAAGATATTAGAGGAGCTTAACTATGGAGTAGGGAACAAGATTTGATTCATGGTGGAGGGATTACTTGGATTTGTCCATGTTTTCTTACAAAATGGTTGAATCCGTCATAGAAAGGTCCGAACTAAAGCTTATTTGCAACTATATGAGGCTTGATACTCAAACCAGATATGTGAAGACTTGCTAGTGTGATTACCTCTTCACAGTGCAGCACAACTCAAGATGCCAAAGTAGTCGGTACTTAAACAGAATGACCCTGTCAAGCGAGTCATTACAAGGATAATGGAAATCCCACATCATCACGCAGAAAAAAATGTTTCAACTATATCCGTCCCGAATTTCTCACCTTACGATCAGTTTAATTTCATTTTATGATTCACGTTCTAGGTTGTAGAGGCCTAAAATTCTGTTTTGAAGAATTATCAATGTGCTCAGTGTTTTCGAGGGTACTAGTAAATGATGCCTCAAAATCTTACATTCACGTGTTGCTCGTCAGATTGCTTGCCAGGTTACACGGGGAGGAAACTTTGGATCAACTCTCCTGACAGGGTGATCCCGAAAGTGGTGCCGTGGTTCATGCCCGCTAGAAGCTGCCAACAACGCTTGCATGGTTTGCACAGCAACAGATGTCGCACCTTGGACGTGCTTCACTTTATTAGAGTTTGATCGAGGGAAGGGTAGATGAACGATGCCCGCTCGGCGTTCAAGGCAACTCGTCAACCAGACCAGTTTTCAAATCTCTTGCAGACAATGGAGGAAGACACCTTCCTAAAGTGTCGATTATTGTTTGATAAGTAAGTGGCTACAGCCTCTGCACCACCACCCAATCTCTTCCTTCAACCAGACGAGACATGGACAGATCAGATGTCCTTCCTTGTCACGCTACTTTGGAGCTTCACTGCCCTTCAATTCACGTCTGTCTGACGCTACTTTGTTGTGCTTCTTTTCCCGAGGCCCCTGAGGTACAATCTGAAATTCGATTTAACTTAATTCTATTCATATCCTGATTAGACAACAATTGGAAGTCATAAGCATTGTACAAGTACTTCACCCCCATGGCTACGACATTACATTCATGAGAAGATCCTGATCACAAATATCCAGATCGATAGCATCGTGAAGTACGTTCCATTCTCTAACGTATCATTCGGTATCCATGAGGCAAATTTAATGGAAGACTCCTTTCTAGTGATCAGTGAACTCAACACGAGAATTCTAACTTATCACCGCGGACATTCAACCAAGCTTGCGATCAATCTGTCGCCAGGTTCCAGTCAACAAACGAGAAGAATTTTGGAGACCCACCGGTTTCGGTTCAACCGGCGGAGTGAATTGCTCGAATTACCGATTCCAAACCGGATCTCTGGAAGCATAACATAGCTTTTTTCGGAAAAGCAGCGGAGACGATGCCGCAGGCTCCCGGTTGCTCAAGGGGAACACAAGATTTCTACCCAAAATTTCTCCCCGCGCCGTGGTTCCACCAAATCCCAGTTGCGAACAACTTGGTCTCGCACACTAGGGTCGGTAACAGCGGCGGTAACTTTGTTGAGTTGGCTCCTCGGTCCTAATCCCCAGGAGATTTGAAACCGAAAGCCATGCTAGAGATTGTAGATGGCGTGGACGACGCAGGTTACGAGATCCATTGGCTTCCAGTTAACAACTTCATGCTATTCCTGTTTAGCCACCGCGTCACGACGATAGTCGTTCCACATAACAAAGAGCCTGTTATCTTGGGCTTCGCATCAACATCCTCGGTTGGTGTCACCTGTCTTATCAATGAGTGGTGGTGCTGCGGTGGTTTTATGGGCTAAATTTGGGTCATCCCACGGCATATATTCCGCTTTTTGGGAACTTCTTTTTGGCACTTTTTCTCCAGCGTGGTGATAACATTTGAATATTTTTTCCAGAAACCCAAACTTGGTTCACTTTCATGTGCAGATGAAGCTGGCCTTTGCCCGATTCGGTTGTCTGAAGCAATGCCCATCCCACTTCCAAATTGGTTGCTCTAAACAATCACAATAATTCACATCTCGAAAAAGTACTGCTGTAGGTGCTCATTTTTAGAATCGTTCGACGAATGTACGACTCTTGCAGTAATCACATACCTATCAATTGACAATTCGCTTATTTCTTTTTTCATTTGTCTAAGTCGATATGTTGCAATTGCAGTTGGTCTAAACCCTTCACCTCGTTGCGCACGTCTTTCAACAAATGCACGATATTGAAAACTACTCGGTGTCGAAGAAAGTATCGCAGAATTGAACCTCCACACGGTCAGCGCTACTTCCAAGTGCGACGAAATTGCATTGAACCCTCCCTTGTGGGAATTTAGATTGCAGTTCGAAGTTGTTGAAGAGCCTGGCTCTTAAGCACCTCCTCCATTCGGAATACGGAATGTGATAAATTCTGTGTGTTGGTTTTCAAATCTCCGAAAATGCAGCCTGAATTTGGCTGCGACTGAACAATTAATGCAAGCCACTGTCTGACCTGGAAAATGCATTGCGCACTGCTTCCACTCTGGCGAATCCCCCACAATGTGCCAGCAACCCACCTTTCAAAAAAGATGGCTCACGGTGGGTCCTATAGAAGTCGGGGCGGTAAAAATAGTCAAGAGGAAAAATCATTTGATTATGAACGAGATGCAAGAATTGATGGCGATCTACTAAAATTGCTTTTGAAGCAAAGAAAGGCTTATCACCGGAACAAGCTTTCTAAATTGCATTCCAATAATAATTCAAACAGTCATTTCATTTCACAACCCAACTTCAGATGAAACGGCAATCACTGTTTTGTAACTTTCCAACCGAATAGGAAGCGTCAATAAATCAGCTCCTTCTTTAATTTACCGTTGTAAATATTACTTCATTTGTGCAAGTATCATTGCACTGTGTTTTTCCTTTGTTATTGTATCCTACACAACATAGTGTGAACCCGCCGTTGTGCTTTCCTAGCAAACTCTTGGTTGTTCACTTCTAAAATCACCGAAAACGCTGATGCAAGCACGTACCCCAACAGACCCCATACTGCCATCTGAAGCTCTCCTGCATTGTTGGAGAGTCTTTGCAAACCTGCAGAGTTAGAAAGGAATAAAGAAGAAAATACAAGAAGTTGTGTCGATTGAACACCACCCACTTGCCGCAAACCAACAAAACTTCATGGTCCCAATATGCTTGAAAATGATGTGATTGCTCTTGTCGCTGATCTAGGCTCCTCGTTTACAGGGAACCAGAAAAATATGATCTGGTTCCCGACACCACCAGAAGAGATCAATCAGGGGATGATAATCATATTTTACTAATTTTCTTGTTCTGCAACACGGGATTGAGAATAGTAAAAAATGACCATACAATATTGCAGGCGCTAGGAGTCCAAACTAAGAACTTATCGTCAGAACAACATTAAAGAAATCGCATGAATACTTTAAAACTTGCTGCCGATTAGCGAAGATCCAGTTTTGCTGCTGGGGTCATAAGAATCAGTACATTGCTCATCATAATCAGTGAAAACAACCGTTATTACCACCATTGATTATGGATTGTTAAATTAGAAACCTAATATAAGTGCTGATGCAGCAAATTAACACAGCTGATGACTTTCTTGTGAACCGCAAGTGTCATAAAAGGGGAGGAAAAAATTGCTAGTTGTTTCCCCAACCGAAGATTGAAAGATACATATGTTTGTATGCGTGTGAAGGCACCAAGCTTGTGAGCCCACCAGTGGGCATGGGGACTCATCGATGCAAGCCTTTCCAAAGACCAAGGGCGAAACCACACGTTATATCTGTTTAGTACAAACAACGGAACCAAAACGCGGCTAACAGCAGACGAGTGACTAAACCGAAGCAAACGCTGCAGTTGTCCATGAGGTTGAATAGTGTTTAGGGCAAGAGAAAAACTAGCGGAAAATCAGTGAAACTAGCACCAAATAGCATGTGTTACTGGGGAACGGCGTGATGAGATGGACGAGAGAAATTAGCAAGTGACCCTCTGTCAGCGACCGTTTTGGACTGCGAGCGCGACGGATTGGGAACCGTTGGCTCGTGCCGTGACTGGAAATCCCTCCCGATGGTCGCTCTCACCCTCAAGCACTCTCCAGTGCATCAAAAGGGTACTGCCAGGCCAGGAAATTACTGACTCGGTGAACTTTCCTCTTGCCTCTCTTGGGATCCGTGCACGATGAGTTGGAGTACTGCCACCCCCCTTCATGTAAGCACGAGTCTGGTGTCGGTCCAGTTTAAAACTGCATAGAGATCGTTGGTGGGAGTGACTTTGTCTAGATTATACCTTAATGGTGCGAATTGCGAGGCAATGCGGTTCAAAGTAAGAGGTCATGAAGTCATCTGCTAGTTTTAATGGACTGTAGCATACGCATTCTGAGGTCATGACTTCGAGGTATTTGCTCCGATATAGGGAGCGGCCCGTGTCTAAGTGGGGTTCAGGGTGGTGGTGGTGGATTTTCAGATGGAATGTGCTCTCACGGAGCGCTCCCGCAACACCGTCCTCAGGAAACGCGCTGCTGAGTCTTTGAAGGTACATCGAACGAGTATGATATTGCGGTAGTTCATCATTGTCAATATATGTTTCTGGTATCGAGGAATTGTTCAATGGCCGCGGCCTATCTTTGATGGGTCAGCAGCTTGGATTGATTGCTTGTATCCAATTGGTGATCAGTCTCAGGTGCAGCCTTTGAAAATGTCCGACCTCGCGCTTCCGAAGCGAGGTCTCCGTCCTATTTCGACTTCGACTGCGCCTGTGACTTCATCGAAGGTGGCGAGGGCGGCGTATCCCAGTTATACCTCCCTGACGGAGATCATTCCTTCCTCTGGATCTGTCGCCGACGAAAGTGGAGACACTCCTCGCACCCCAATGCGCAACCGATTGGTGGAGAAGGCAGCCCGAGCCTACCTTCTTCACTCGGACGCATTCGACAGGCGTAACCCCGAGAGCACTCCATGGAAGCAGTCCATTTCTCGCTTCCTCCCCCGTATGTCTGTTTTCAACATGGCGCTCAATCCTCTGAACATATTCAACTCTGCCTTCCAAGTGTTCCGGTTCTACATCACGGGAGCTCGTGCTCTGCAGCCGCAGATCAGAGCCACCATATCCCGCTCTGTCTCTCGCTCCATGTCCATGCCTATCAAAAGAATGTCTTACGCACATGACCTGAGCATTCTGTAAATCCTAAAAAGATCCTTTCATCAATTGGTGTGGAGTTGACTAGCTGAGAATAATTGATTTGTAGTCGAGAGGTGGTGTTGGCGTTAGCCGAGAATACGACCTTCGAGGTGGAGGGAGTGGATTACACTTCGAGGTGGAGGGAGTGGGCACTGAAGGGCTACAGTCAGGTTACCTCTTCAATCTTTACAAGGAAGGGAGGGGTATTAGTGATGGGAATATCAACTTGACTAGTTTGGGGAAGTCGTTTATATGTCGGGATTTGGGTGTCGGGGACGGCGGGGATCTTTTCCACAAGCTAGAATCCTTCTGTATATACGATAGGCTCGAGTGAGAAGCGCTACAACTGGGTGCTGGTGACGAAATTGATGGTGTCCTTTCTGGAAATGGAGTTAGCAACTTCTTGTATCTTACTCGGTTTTTCCGTGAGCGTGGGCGAAGCCCGCGACACAGGGGAATGGAATAGGAATTCAATTATGCCGAAATCGGTTTGGAAGAAGTGGTCACTTTGATCATGTCCCAATCAGCACGTCGACGTTCCTTATTTCTACATCAGCATCGACCCTGTTGCAGGAGCTTGTCACAAACTGTAGGACCACCAGGGATGACAGTAAGAGTCGGAGACAGAACTCAACAAGGAACCATTTGACTTGTTACTCACAACAATGCTTCTTTTCTAAAATTAAACCAGATGTAGCTACTAGACCGGTGGTTGTCTACTCTTTCTCGCTCGAGCTCAATTGGTAGGTGGGCGTCCAGCTGAATGTGATGAGTTGTTAATGTGATCACTGTCTTGGCTGTGTACTGCACTTTCGTTTGCCTGTGGATTGCGTGCGCATGTTGTTCTGGCAGGCTATCTAGAAGGGTTAAACACACAGTGCTTCTTAGCGACGGATACATGCGTTTGCTCGTTTCCATGAATGGATTTCAGATTCGGAGTACTGTAGGCTGATCAATCCAGTGAAGGCCTTTGTGTACAGGCGGGGAGCTCTCTTCGTCCCGTTTCAGACTTGCTTCTTCCTTAACATTTTTAGCAGAGTAACAATGTTTCCTTCCACCCTTTGCCTGCTTCTGTTTCAGCAATGCTCGACATCCATACTCACCGTCCAACTCTTTTCATTGTGGATGTCACTGACATGACGCGGGCCCCTCTTCCATCTCCGAGGCAACTATAATCACCATTTGCTGCTCCAGAAACGGCTTGATCCCCACTGCAGCATCATGCGACACTCCCCTCCGATGTTCTGAGGAACAGTAGCTATGTGGTGAGGTAGGGTAGTGGTGTACTGCGTAAATCCATGTATTAACCATGAGTGTAATAATATGTGCTAACCCAATTCTTCTATCTACTTCAGTATTATTTTAGACTTTTTCTAAGTAATCCAAAAATTTCGCCATACTCGTTCCCCTGTGTATGATATTTCGTAACCCGGATACCATGATTTTGATGTGCACATGAGAATTGGAAATGCTCGTCCTTGAAGCTATTCTCGTAAACAACAATATCAGAAGGACAATATAACTGTTTAGGTTTTTGTTTGCTGATGTTGCTTTTCTTCTATCTTGTGACCAAATTATTCTTCTGTTTAGCAAGAAAGCGTTTTCCCAACAAATCAGAGACCAAATTATTGTAAATTTCATAAATATATATAAAATCTCTTTTGCAAATATGATTTGTTTCTAAGAAATTGTTTTTCATGGCCTCCATTCTTTAAAGCGTACAGCTGATTTATTACACATCAATGTTACCCAATTTATCTTTTTAAGCTCAAATACACTTCCAAAATTTAAATTACAATATTTGGTGAAGCGTTTTGAGAAATAATTAGAATAAATAATATGTTTTGAAAGTTCAAAGTATCATGTATTCTTCATACTCATGTTATATTTTTCTTCTTCAAATCACCTTAACAAATTATTTCTAATTTCTTAATTTAAGTGGTTGTTCATTGTTGCTCACTAAATATTGCTAAGATTTTTAGTATTCATTTGAAATATCTAAAATATAGTCAATATTGAAATTAAGAAGTATATATAAATAAGAAGATGTAATTTACAATACTAGCTATTTTTTTGATATTAATTCCTATTGAGCACCACTTCTTTAATTGTTTTAAAAACAAAAATAATTAATAATTGATCTACATTAGGTATGCAAAGAAATATGCCAAAGAGACTGCCAAGAAATTAGAGATACTATTATTACTTGTCCAAGCCTATCCAAATCTATCAATTTATACATATTTTAAGATATTCATATTTTTCAAATAGACTTGGGATTTGGACCAATTTATTAGTAGTCTTAAGATTAGATTAAATATTTAGATGATATCAACTACCTTATCCATTTATTCATATATTTATTTATAATTTTTATCTTTTAAGGATTACTATAGTAGCATTTATAAGTTGACTCAATATTTGTTTATCTTCTCTATCTTTGATTGATATGGTATGTATACAATTCTCTTTGACCACCTGTTTAATAACTAATTTTAATATTTCACCTATTATTAGAAAATATAAAATAAGTAAAAAATGGCTTCATCTTTCTATAGAAAGAAATCTGGTTGGTAATATTTTTATTGGCACATACTTAGGCTTTTCCTTGCTAAAAAAATTATTTTTGTCATTATAACATAGTATTGAACAATAAATTCGTCAAAACCTTGTCACATACTTCAAAAAAATCTAGTTTCAAAAGCAAAAGTATTAGATAGAAAATTTAGTCCAATTGTTTTTTTTTAGATAACTAAAATATTATTTAATGTATACTAAAAACAAAAAGAAAGAAGTAATTTATTTTAGTTTATGTTTTATATTAAAAAAATTTAAACTTTTTAAGATTTTTTTAAGTAATGATAGGAGTATTAAATAGTATAGTTAGTTTTTTTTTGTTACTAAAGACTTTTTAACTTCTTCTCTTAAACAAGAATAGAATAATTTTTTATTAAAACTTCTAGAAAATTGATCCTTTAAAAAACATCATTAATTTCCAATAGAAATATTTTCTAATAATATCTAAAAACCATTTAAAAACTCAAATTCCAATCTTTTTGGTCTTTGGACCTTTTTAATTTTCATATCTTTAATTTCTTGATAATATTCTTAATGTATTAATAACCTTATAAAGTTATAATTTTTTTATTTAAAATATTTAAAGAAATATTTCTTAATATATTTTTAATTGCCACTTCATATTTCTTTATATTATTAGAATTATAAAAAAAATTCTTAGAATTCCTTAAAATAATATTTTAGTAATATTTCAATATTAGTTGATTATCAATTCTTTCACAAAAACTGTTGTAAAATATCAAAAAAAGTTGTTTAGACTTTAATTCTTTCAAACATTTTAAGGATACTTTCATATACTTATCTTTTATTTATATTTTATTCTTAAAATTATTCTTCTTTCTTCAACTCTCAAAACATAAAAATATTTTTATCTTATTTTGATTATTTTAAAATCCTATCTATTAAATATATTTTAAATATGTACTTAACAAGATAATAGAAAAGTATATCTTAAATTAACTCTTATTTATATTATTATTTAATAAAAAAATACATAAATTTACTTTAAAAAATTTAGATCTCATGAAAAGATTTATAAAAACTCACAATTTATCTTACTATATTTTTAAAATATTTACCTTCTTGTGTTGAAGTCTAAATTTTACTTATTTAATAAATATATGTTTTATATGTCAATTTTATCTTGCAAAGTGTTTGTAAGAATTATCTAATGAGCTTTATTTTATAAGAGATATTATATTGATAATTAAATATTTAATTACTTTATTTTTATTTGTTTCAATATGGCTTTTAAAATTTAGATTTTATTTTTGGACCTAATATAAAAGATCTTATGATTTTTTTGTTGATTAAAATATTAGGTATTAGGATGTTTAAGGTGTTGTCAAATCCACTTTACTTGTTGGTCTCTTGTGACTAGTATCTACTTACTAAAAACAATTTTATTATGTATTGTGTCAAATTGATGCCATTTCTTCTACTTGATTATATTTTGATGGTCATTCAATGTTTTTTTAAACTATTTATTTAAAAATTATATATATATATATATATATATATATATATATATATTTGAATTTTTTTTATTTTTTTTAAGTTTAATTTTAATTTTAATTTTAATTTTTAATTTTAGTAGTGTGTATACTAGATATTGGTGCCAATTATAAGATGCATATACTATGGACATGTCTATTTTACTATTTACTTAACTCTGAAAATTAATTATTATATTTTATTTTTTATCAATTATATATATATATATATATATATATATATATATATAGTTCTTGACTTTTAAGTGTTGTCTAACTTTAAATCTTATATTTGTGACAAATTCTTTATGTCAACAATTTGTTAGCCTAGGTAGTAATACTTATAGAATGAAATTTTAGTCTTATAGCTATTTGAGTTATTTAAGTTGTAAAGTCTTGTAAGTTTAGTATTACCAATTTTGTAATTTTTAACATGTTGCCACACCATCTTTGTAAAATTTGACTTAAAATTAACTACCTATATGTCAAAGAGGGATTATAGTTATACTTAATTTCTTAATTTAGCCACTATATTTGCCATAAATGGTTTATACTTAATTCTTTGATTTAGCCATTAGATTTGCCATACATGATTTATACTTACAAAGCTACTTGGTTAGTCAACAAGACACCTCAAGTAGCACTCTTAATCCTACTATCAATCTTATATGTGATGTCAATTATTTTGCCAATAGGATTACTCTTTGCTTTAGATTATGGCTAGATTATATATAAGATTAGATCTATTTCTTGTTTCTATGTTACCTTTGGTTATTTTTGGATGATGGATTTTTTTTACTTTATCTAAATTATATTAGTTTGTAATAAATCACTTAACTTCAATTAAATTCAAATAAATTCAAGTAATTCACCTTTCAACTACTAACTACTTTTGAATAGAATTTATATACATTATTTGTTTAATATATACTATAAATCTTTCAGAGGGTGTGATTTTATTTTTGTAAAAGATGTATTTTTTTTACAAGCCTTGTATTACTATTTGACTATGTTTGCTACTTATTTCTATTATTGCAGTAATTTATCACCTACCAAAAACTTTTTCAATTAAGTATAATATATATATATATATATATATATATATATATATATATATATTTTTTAACATACCTTTTTAAAACAAAAAAAATATATATTCTAATTCATTGTATATCCTATAAATTAGTAGTTTTACTTGTATTATTGTTCTTAGATGACATTAGAATTGAGTAGGCATTTATTAAATAAAATAGAATAAAATTTAGTAAATAGTTTTCAGAAAGATGGTTGTAATTGATTAGAATGCATTTCTAAATCTTGTTTACAATTAGATTATACTAATGTGCAATATTTTGGCTCATTTATTTTATCATTTTTGGACTTTCTTCTACTATTTTTCTTAATCAACTTCTATCTATAGATTATTTTTTTGAAATTAATGTAATTTTTTTCTAATTTTATCTAAATCATAATATTTAGTGTGTTTGCACCATATGTCAAATTTGAATGTCAAATTGCTCTGGAATTGAATAAAATAATTCTTAGTTAAAATCTATACATTTTGTTAATTATATTATATAGAAACTAAACAAGAACTTTGTAGATCACTTGCATGAAACTTTAAATAAGAATATGGTTTTCCAATTTTTCACTCATTATTTACAGACCCTCCACTAGTTTCTTTAGATTGCTATGCCATGGGAAGGTTCTTGTTGTCCAAATTTGTTAATAAAACATGCTTTGGCAAATAAGTTGTTTCTTCTCTCAGAACTTTGTCATTGACTATTATCGTCCTAGGATTTGATTTCAACAGGAATTCCCAAACATAACCACTTGGGAAACACAAATCATTTTTTTCTTTTTTCTTTTTTCTTTTTTGGATACAAAAATTTATTTTAACAATTGCAGAGGCCACGAGCCAAGGTCAGTGCAATTTTTGTGGGGCAAATAGTTTGCCTCAATTTTTTTATTTTCAGTAGTAACGTTACCAACCACGATCTTTCAGAGCCACTGAAATATTCATGTTTTCCAAGAAAATAGAAACAATAAACATATTTTAACATTGGGTTCAGTGCTCCTTGCGGCCTGAATATAATAAAAGGTACACGTTGTTGGAGATGCACAGCAATGAATGACAGTTCCACACAAATTTTAAGGCTTTAGAGATGTGCTTGTGCAAAAGTTAGAATCTTGTACAGTACAGCATGCTAGACTCTTGTATTTCTGTGCTTGTCGTTAGTTGATTTATGACAAAAAATCTGCCAAAGATAACTAGTATATAATTACATCATACTTGGAAAGTTCTCTTTGATGAGGTTCTCTGTTCCTACATGCAAGCGCAGTTACTGGAGGCGTGTTCTTACGAATCTGGTTTCATGTCTGAATTCCCCTCATCTTAGGAAGTCGACGTTCTCGGACGATTGCCTGGTGTGGATATTCGCCTGCCTTTGCAAAATCAAGTTCTAGTGGAAGATAATGCTGGTTTGCTTGCTCAGGTAACTGTGATAAACGTGAACGTCCTCAAGCGTCGAACCTCGGGTTGAGCAAACTAATCTTATGCGACGACCAGGGATGTTCAAGGCCTCCATTGTCGACAACTGCACTTTACTGAATCTAGATGATGAAACCGCATCACTAGACTGATTGTTTCGAAATGTGCAACTGCAGACGTGTGAAAGGTTGCATGATACCACACCCCACACCCATCACCAAAACGACCAAAGGAGTTCCGAAACTTTGTATGAGAATGGAGATTTTCTTTACGTTGTGAGCAATCAGGCTGCATTAACTGTGTTGGAGATTTTTATGTAAGTGATGTCGAACAACGTATATAGATCTAAGAGAGCTTTAGAATGTAGGAAAGGGTACCCCTTCTGGATTATCCTTGGGTTGCTGAGCAGGACAAGGTCAAGGATTTAGTCCTAGCGGAATGACCAGGAATAGACCAAGATCCAAGACAAGTATACTTTTTTCTTTTTTTTTTTTTTCTTCAAAGAACAATTTCTCAAGCAATGGGGTAGACGCAATTGTGTCCTTTTAAGATCATTCGAAGTTGAACACATCTCCCTGTTAGATTAATATTCCCCTGTAAATGCTCGAAAAGTATGAAGGAAAAATATCTGCCTCTTTTTTTACTTGACGTGTTCATCAATTGCGATGTAATCCAGTCTTCTTCTGGCTCTTCAGCTAAAATGCCAAGTTTCTCTAGAAACGTCTGAAGCTCATCTTCTTGGAAAACTGCCAAAAAATTCATCTGAATCCACTCCACCACATTCTGACGTACTCAAATCTCACCTGCAGCACATTATCTACAGCAATTCTTCCGAAATTGTATGTGCGTGGTTATGTATATGAAGAATCTCGGAGCAACCTGTGTCTCCGGACAGTCTCAACGTGGACATGTTCACAGACTAAAATCTTGGTGCGCCCAATCTCCCTCTTCAGTTAAGACGTTTTAACTTCATCTGGTCCCTACTCAAGAGTACATGTCTATGGTATGTTTGGATCCAACGGAATGCAAAATTGTTTAGAGAGGAAGGATGGAATGATACCAAGGAAAATGGCTTGAGCAAATATCATCCAATACGAAAAAATACCATAGACTTGTTGCTCATTCAGGACTCTTTTCGTTCAGTGTTCATAGCTAGTACCAGTTCATATCTTGATGTGTCTGGAGGGAAACTATCAAACATTGCAAATTACGACTTCGTAACTCAGTAGATGCTCCTACACGATTATGATCACGTCAGCCTTATTTATCTGGAGCTGATATACAAAGATGTAACATGAAAACAGGATTCGCCGCGTAGCGTGGTCATAAATGTGGCTGCATTCCTTGGCCGCGTGAGATTCAGGCTTCAGCCTGAGAAGCCGAGGCTAGCGGCAGGCTCTCAACCCTTCGGATGAGACATCCAAATTTAACAATCATTCATCAATTTCATCCAACTCTTGGAATCTTCCTTTTTTTTTTAGTGGGGCAGGTACGGGCAGTCCAAGGGAAAAGGCAGGCCCTAGAAAAGTTCCGAAAAGTTAAAGCAAAGAAAAAGGAAAGAGAAAAGGGCACAGTGATGTTAGAGTATGGTTCCCATGATCTATCACCTTAGTGTTGTATAATTCATTAGTGTAGATATTTTTTGAGCTTTGGGAAAGTGAGGGTGTAGAAAAATCATAAATTTTGCTTTCTTTTTCGTCCATTCATTCATTAAGTGCTGTCAGATATTTTATGTCTTGACTTTGCCTACTTAGTATTTCCTTTGCATTCAAATGTTCCATGAAGATAGTGTATAGGTTACAACTCCTACACATTTTACTGCAGGGCCCACTAATTGATGAAATTTTTCATCAGGAATTACTTGTCGTCATCTGTATTCTTGAATTGATCAAAAGATGGATTCACACACAAACATGCATAAAGAAACTAGTTGATGATTGTGGACAATGAAAAATATCTTACAAAAGTCTTTTGTGGCAGGAACAGTTCATAGAAGAATTTCATCCATATCTTCAGTGCATAGCTAAATATTAATTTACCAAAAAAATAGAACTTCAAAAACAACTCATATACTGTTAAGCGTGCAAATGTATCTAAAGAGTTGTATTTTTCTCATTTCAGGGAGAACCATACTCTTCATAAGTTGGTCAACATGTTGGTAATTCAACTATAACCACCACCACAAATGTATCACCTTTTGTTCCCACTATTTTTAGGCAGTGAAACTTTCATTCCTGGATCCCATTAAGACAATTCACACAAACACACACATGTTTATAAATACATATATATATATATATATATATATATATCTATATACTCCACTTCTAAACAACGATAACAACTTATAGTAGGTATGTCTTGAGGCCCTCTTAGTGGTATTCTGGGTGAACTGCATGTATTCGCGAGGAATCAGATGAAACTTCCCCTACGCCAATCACTCCTCGTCAATAAATTCTGAACCTACGGAAAATTTGCTACGATGGAGAATTTTGCTGATGACTTGTCGTGCAGAACAGGCCACTAACCAAGTGGCACAACAACTGCGATGCCACTGTCGTGGAGTTACCACATGAATTGGCCACTAGGCAAAGTGGCAGACCTGCGATGAAAGCTAACCATTGGAAATCGCTTCGCAGTTGCCCACTTGGAGCCCTGCTGAAGCTGTATGAGTGGGCGCAATTGCTGAGGTGGCAAAGAGCGCGAGACCTTTGCAGTTCTTTCGCGTTTAACACCAACTTTTGAATCTCAAGTCACCTTTGGGATAATGTTACATATGGGATAACCCTTTGGGATAATGATATTTCAGAGTGCAGCCCTATATTGGGTTCTACATACCGGTATGACTCATCCCTACGAGTGTGAATCTCGTTACTTCCAAGCCAATGAAAGTAGCGAACATGGAAAATTCATGAGTCAACTGAGGCGTGGACATGTGTTACCAAAAACTGCAGTGTATTCTACGCATTTTGCCGTATGTCCTAGCGGCCCTGAGTTTTGAAGTAGCACATTTATCACATCATAACTCTGGTATTGAAAGGATACAAGCAACTACTGGCCTATCAGATTTTCATTTCAATCTTTGATGATTCTTTTCTTTTCTTTCCTATATTCCCTTTCTCTTTACATAAATTCTTTCGCATCATGATGACGATCCATTTTTTGAGGTCATGGCCTCTGAGTCCACCAGTTACCTATCAGCTGCATGTGGAGATATTTTACAAAACCAGATCGTGAAGACGATGTTCATCCACAAGCTCAAAGCCAGCAATCTGCTATTGCCCACTTGCTCAGTTCAATCATTGACCAAAGTGGTGCAGAGTCAAGAGACCTTCGATGGTGGGCTACACACTTACCCTTCATTCTGTTTAAAGTTGGAATGACATGATTGGACAGCAGAGCAGAGCAGTTAGATTTCACACTAACCGATTCCTAGTTCTAGCGTCTCACTACCACATTCCAAGCGATCGCGCAGTAACAAGACTACTTTGCACACACAAGTCCTCACCATGGCCTAGTATCGGCCATCATGTTGACACTGCTCCAATAATCATCCTAAAAAGATACAAAAATACATCATTCATCATTTAAATCAGCAGGACGCACGGTCATTTATCTGCATGCACTCACTAACAATCAAGAGAGCAAGCTTGGGCATGACGACAACCCACATAAGAAACCTCCAAGGTGTGTCCACATACACCTCCGAATCATTTCTCACAGATATACAGATAATGCAGACTGCCATCGACGCGCCCTAAAGAAATCGAGAACAGTCAACAGCTAATCACCATTATCAAGACAATACAATGGCAAGAAACACACTTCACATAATTGATTCAACAACGCAACTCCAACACACCCTGAACAAGCATACCCAACGGCGAAAAAACTGTTCACAACAAGCAAGCCAACATGACACAAAATAAAAATAAAAAAACTAAAACCGATGATCATCAATGCTACTTCCGATGAATAATGTACATCTTCAAAATCTTACTCATCTATCCTCCTGCCAGCTACCACCCTTCCACTTCCCCTCCATCTCTCCACAATCTAGCATCACTGAGCTTCAGCGGTGTCACCATCCGCTCTCCCCAACACCTCACTTGAAGCACTCCGCGAACTCCAACCACCGATCTGCCTCCATACAATCCATCTGACTCGCATCCTCCTTCATCGTCGCCTCCATCCCGAACGACCCCCCGAACGGCGACCTCATCGACTCCAGCACATTCCCGCATTCCCTCTCTACCCCCGTCCCTGGCGATCCTGCCCGCGCCAGGCTCGTGTGTGAGCTCGTCCACAACTCCCCGGACGCCGACCCCGGCCCCATGCAATTCCCCATCGGCGCGCTGTGCGATCCCCCGAACGAAACCGACTCCTCCAACGTCCGCTTCTTCCCCATCCGCCACTCCGACAGCGACTTCCGCACCGAACTCACCCCGTCGCCGTGCTTCCCATTGCTCGCCCCCTCCACTCCTTTCGTCTCCGTCTCCGTGGCTGCTGCACTCCCCGCTGACATCGACGGTATCGACTCCCCATCGTTCCCACTCCGCATCACGTTCGGATCCACCGACGTCCGCCCCCCCACCTGTTCACACACAACCCGTCATCACCCGCTGCCTCCTCCCATTCCCGACTCTACCCCACGACTTGCAATTATCCACAACCTGCCCCTCCACTCCCCCGACCAATAACACACCAACACTCACTCCCTACCATTTCGCACGAGCTTGTGCATGTTCCCACGACTTGCAATTATCCACAACCTGCCCCTCCACTCCCCCGACCAATAACACACCAACACTCACTCCCTACCATTTCGCACGAGCTTGTGCATGTTGTTTGCTGGCTGCTCGCGCACTCGTCGAACGCCCGCTCTGTCGGCATCCTTGCCTTCCCGCTCTCCAGCTCCTTGCTCAGCCTCTCCACTCTCCTCTGCAGCGCCTTGTTCTCGTCCTCGAACTTCTTCGCCACTTGCACCGCCACGCCCAGCTTCTTCTGCAACGTCGAGTTCTCCACCCGCAGCTGTGCGGTCTGCCACAACAACACATACCCCATCCCCACGCCGTTTACTCCGCAGCCCACTCTTTCACCCGCTGCTCATCACAACCCATCCCACTCTGTCCCCCTGCACCTAACCACCTACGACGCAGTTGACAATGTCATGTGTTCACCAGCACTTCCAGCTGGTCCAGCCGCTCCTGCCGTCTCTGCCGAGAACGTTGCGCTGACGCCCTGTTCGACAACATCCTGCTCCCACCCAAGTGCCCCACCACCACCTTGTCACACACCCACATCTCCACTTCCGCTCCTTCTCCTCACCATCCTCACACCCTAAACACTCCGCCTAACACATCATTCCGCCATTCCGAATCCGCTCGCAAACAACTCCCACACTCCTCAACCTCAACCTCAACCTCCTTGTCCGCCTTACCTCTTCTTCCGCTTCTCGTCCAAAGGCCGTGCCTCCCAGTCCTCGTCGTCCGTACACAGCTCCGCCGACGCCTCCGCCGTCGACTGATCGCGCTGCACCCCGCACTGGAACGCGCTCCGCTGCACGTCGCTGCTGTGACACGATTGCAGCTCCGCCGTTTGGCTCGCCACGCAGCTCGCTTCCCCCAGACCCCTCTGCGACAGGCTCAGGCTCGTCGAGATGCCCAGGCTCGGGCTCGGCGTCGGCGTCACGTCCGCCTGCATCATGCGCTCGATCCATGGCGACACCGATCGCGCCATGGACTCCACCCGCCCACCTGCGTCCAACGCCTGCCCACCACATCCCCTTTCAGACCAATGCACTCCCCCGCCATCTCTTCATCACAACACCACAATCGCAATCGCAATCGCCATCGCCAACGTGCGCACACCCACCAATTCACAACCTCCCTCCCTGCTCTCACCCTTCGCTCCCGGTGCACCGTCCACGTACCTGGTGGCCTGGGTGCAGTCGCGTTCGCTGATGCGCGCCCACATCCCTCGGTACTCCATTGTCAGCCCTCGAGTAGAACCCCTGATGTGCGCTTGCAAGCGGCTCCAAGTCGGGGCTGTACAGGTCCAATCTCGTTGGCAATTGCTGGGCGGGAGGCCTCAGCGCTTCGTCGAACCGAGGAATGTACTGCGGAATGGGTCGGCCTGCGCTGCCGGCGTTCTGATGAGATAGAAGCGAGTCAGGCGGGAGTTGCAAGCCATTTGCGGGCTCATGCGAACATTGAATCTCGCCTAATTGCTGGTTCCAGGGAAGCCAGCCCGGTTGGCTGTTTATGCGTTGGAGTTCGTGGGCAATGGCGGAGGTTAAGTCGAGGCGGTTTGCTGCCTCAGGCAGCTCTGAAAGCATTCGTGGCTGAGCGAGTGGTGAATGCTGCGGGATGAGAGTTGGATCAAGCCTGTACATCCTGCAGTACAAGGTCAAGGAACAATTAAGTCAGCGTAGAATTTAAAATTTTCTCTGACAAGGCAAAGTTTGGAATGGGAGCATTTCAGCGAATTGCAAGTGATTAGGTGCTGTCGTTCTCTTCTATCTCAAAGCGGTGGTTTGAGCAGCATCCGGGAAATTTACAGAAGGTGACGGTGAGGAAACGAATTTATATCCTAAGGAATCTCTCAAAGATCCTCCACTCCTGCAAGAGGAACTGCCAAACAGTCGCCGATTCTGTTCAGAGCGTGCGCCACACGGCTCCCCAGCACTCGCCTGATACTCGCCTGTGTGTGGAGCTCATATTGCTGGACTATATGTATAGAATACAAGAAAAATTTGTACAAGCGGTGTTGTATTCGATTCTAGTGGTGAACGAGAAGTGATGGAGCAAACGTCGCGCAGGACTTCGTGCAGCGAGGTCGTAGGCGGAAGAGAAGATTTTGACCTCGAGCACGGTTAGCTGAGAGATAGGAAGCAACTACGAGCAGCCGGGCAAGGAGCTTCCACATACTGCAGTGTTGCAACGATACGCTGCTGCACACTTCAAGCTAACAAGTAACTAATGCGAACAACTCCAGCAGCGACCGCGAATACGCATGAACCATCGCAACATCTAGCACACGCACAGTTCCCTAATCGCCGCCGCTCTCATCTCCAACATTTCCACCACAACTACGGTCAAGCATCCAAGATACACGTACCTAGGAGGCCCGCCATAGCTGAAGTTGACTAAGTTCCTACTAGCACTCTCCATTACGAGAAAAAAAAAAAAAAAAAAAAAAAAAACGCCCCTGCTCCCTGCACGTCCTCAGAACTCGCCCCTTGAAATTAAACTCCACTTTCTGGTCACCAGCCACACCACAACTGTTTCCAATATGGAAATTCAAGCTGCACCTGCCAAGCACTTAAGGGCCAGCACGCGAGCACTAGCTCCAGCAAATGTACCAGGGAGAGCCACCCCGCACATCACTGTCTTCGCCCTCCATGATGCCCCTCCCCTGCCTCCTTACAAAATCTGGCCTCTATCTACACAAAATTCGATCCAGTAGCGTAAAGTAGAGGCAGCATCAAGTCAAGTTGGCCAAGGAGTGGGGGAGGCCTCCCGAAACGCGGAGCGAGAAAACCTGAAAAAGGCGAACAAGACGAAAGCAGACCGCAGAGTGACGACAAGCGTAGTTGAGGCAGGGCTCCAATAGTGTGACATTGGTTGGGGCAGATCGAGAGCGCGGAGAGATCTGAGCTGGGGACCAGTACTACTACTACAACTACGACTACCACTCCTATGGCGACTGCTGCTCTCCTTCGCGGGCCGGTGTGTGGTCCATATAGCTCCGCTCTATGGTTCCCACGTTGGCCCGCCGCCGGAAAGAGCTCTCTTTGCATTGAGGAAGCATCGGGGATTTAGCGACACCCTGGCATCGGATAACCCCCGACACCGGCCTTGGTTAAGCCTGCCCGTCTCGCGTGGCGGGCTCACCTTTTCCTAGCCTATCGTATTCTGCCAACTGGACTGCCACCTCCGCAGGGGTTTGCCTACTCGTGGCTCGTGGCTGGTCTGCTCGCACATGGTTGCATTTGTGCCCCGGTTCGGATTCCCTGTTCACTCTTCACATTGGCTCACGCACTTCAGGATGGAATTTATCTAAAAGATAAAAGATTTGGTTTGTGCTCTCGCACACATGACTCCTGTTGTTTGTTTCCACATACATGAACTCTCTGAAATGTTGCAAAGAGTTCACCCTGTTGTGTAACTTTTTAATGTAAAATCTAATCAGTGCTCTTTTAAAAGGCATCGAACTTTTTTCTATTTTCTTTTTTATGGAATTGATTTATAAAGTGAATAAAATATGTTTCACTTATACCCAAAGAATAAGAAGCAAGGAGAGGATTTTCAGTGTGATTCTGATGATGGGATGTCTCCTTGCTGCACCTGCCAGTTGCACCTTCTTGCTCAAGATCTTTCTGTTTTCAGTAAAATGGAAATATATATATATATATATATATATATCCAATTATTATAAATTTATTTCTTATATACCTTTGAAATTTTGAAACTATTATTATGTAAAAAAAAATTAAATTTAAGAAAGTAGGAAATTTTCAATGATATACATATTTTAATTTTGATTTCTACTATTTTGGTGCAAAATTTTAGTTAAGATAAAATTCTAAAAGGCACAAATGTAAAGTAATTATGCCTATACAAAAAATTATCAAAATACAAGCTATAAAAATGATAGTCTTGTTTGAAAAAAAAATGCATTATCCATCTAAAAAGCTTAATAAAAGATATTTTATAATAGAATCATTTATATTTTAAAAATTTGATTCAACAAAATCAAAATAATAAAAAATTATGCACTTTTTTTTAAGTATGTATAATTTTTTAACATTACTCATGTAAAATGTTTAAATGCAAAATAAAATCTTAATTAGATGAAAAATAGGTATATATTTTATTGCATTACTTAATTATTTATTCTTCCACATATATTCATGTGTAATAAAAGAAAATTATGCTTTTAATTCAAAAAATAAGATATTTTTTTGTAAAATAAAAAAAAAAAAAATACACAAGAACATAAAAACTTGTCTAATTCATTTCAAAATGTTATTCTTGTATGAAGTTAGTTTTTTTGGATTACTATTCATTTTTTGTAATACATCAAAAATAATTGTTGTCACAAATATATATATATATATATATATATATATATTTACCTAAATAAGAAGAGATGTGTAGAAAGTAAATGTAGATAGATTTAATATTATCTTATGGCAAAGCTTCTTAAAAGCTATATATATATATATATATATATATATATATATATGACTTTACACATGTTTATAGTTGATTAATAGATTAGAAACTTGGCCAACAAGTTAGCCATGTGTCACATGTGTAGATAGCTTATGGTACAAGCTAACAATGTGGCATACATATAAAAAACTTGTCTTGCAAGTTAAGACATGTGTCTCGTAAATTAGACACTAATTGGAGGTTCTATAGGACGTCGCTATGTAGCAAGTCCTTGGTTTTGTTTCAAGACTTTCTAATCTTTTTATCTTTCATAATAGCCATTCTAGTTTAATATTATACCATTTTTTAATGATTTTTTAGTCTTTTTAAAAGATACAAGAGTATATTGATCTTTTAGTCATTTGAGATTCATGACTTTGATAGTTTGATAAGAAAGCTTATTCTTTGTACTTTTTTTTGTTAAAAGTGAGTGGGTTATCTCACTTCTATTATTGTGTTTTGAAGATTGTGGACTATCCAACTTTAAAATTTATTTTTGATTTTTAAACATTCATTGTTTTTTTTAAAGAGAGTAAACTAGCATTTTTAGTAGAAACTCTTATTCAAATTTAAAGGTTGATGATTATCTTCTTCTAATTTGACTTTTAGATTTATTTGAATTAATTATCAAAAGATAATAATAATTATTTATGCTATTTTTGATAAAAATAAGAATAGATTTATAACAATTATAAATTTTTACAAGTTTATCAATATTCTAAAGATAGAAATCTCACATGTCTCTAACATCAACTATAGAAATAATATTCTAATACTCATAGAAAAAGTTAACAACAAAGTTTAAAGTCTATGCCAAAAAGTTGTGCAATTGAGAGAAAGAAGTAAATCAAGCTCATAACTATATTCAAGAAGTTTTACTATTCTAAGTATAAAAGAGGCAAAAATAAGTATGCCTAAGAAGTTTGTTGGAACAAGATCAAAATTTTGAAGATTTTTAAAATAAGTAAAGTTTTATCTAAGTTAGTATTCTTTTCAATACCCTTATAGATTTATTCAAGTTGGATTCATAAGTGCACTTAACTCTAGGAGTACTCTCTCTTAATTTGTACCTTAGATGAAAAAAATATTAATATCTTCTTTATTATTTGAATTTATTTAGAAAAGTATTTATAACAAATTTTAAAATAAATGATTAAAAAAACATAATAAAGACCAAATTTTTATCTTTATAACAAAAATCATCTTCAGCCATCATAAATCTTGTAGAATTCCAAAATTTGGCTTATGATGTAGATTGAAATAATAAAGTCTTTATTGATCAATTTTAAGGTAGGTTAAAAGATATGTCAAAGATTTATTGTTGACAATACTAAAAGCATGTTCATTAAAGCAATTTATTGTTGAAGCTAGTGCATACAATAATTAATTCTTTGAAAGACACCACAAATAAATATTTGGTTGAAGATGTATAAATCAAGCCATGGCAATAACATCTAATTTTATAGAAGCTTATTCATCAAGATTGGATCCTATGCAAATTAACACCGTTTATTGAAGGCCTTTTATAAAGCAAGAAAATACTTGATGCTATCAAGAAGGTTTATGCTTATATTATAGAAAATTTAAGAATATTGTTCAACATTGTCCAAAGAAGCAATACAACTATAAAATGAAGCATAGGATTGTTAAAGCGGAAAATATTGGAAAACAAGTTTTTCAACTATAATAGAGACTGTGCAGCTAAAATCTTGCATAACACCTAATAAAGATTTTATTTTCTTCTTAGATTCTTTATATTAATTTACAATAAAAAAATTTTACCAAAAAATCACAAAGTTTGTGCCTTGCTAGATTCAAAAGTCTCAATTTGTTTTATAGACAAAATTTTTGGTAAAAAATAAGAAATATCTTTAATGAAGAAAAATGAACTTGTATATGTAGAAGTCATAGGTGGTTGTTTCTTATCCTCTAAAGATATTATTCATAAAATAATTTTTTTTACATATAGCAATTAAAGATCATAATAGCATAGTAATATTTAATATCATTAGATTTTCTTTCAATCCAATTATTTTAAGATTATCATGACTAGAGAAGTATAATCTTTAAATAGATTGAACTTCTTATAATCTTTAATTTAGTCTAGAATCGTGCTAGTGAAGTAAAAATTCATAAATCCATCACAATCAAATCCTTGTTAGTAGATGTAAGAGCTTTTATGTATGCAACAAAAAAATGGTCAACTTTTGCTATTTACATCACAATTATTTCCTATAAAGAAAAGACTTAATATAGCATTCTAAGCCAATATCAAGATTATCAAGATGTATTTAAGAAGAAGAATGCAATTATTTTACTAGAACATTACTCCTATGATTGTTCTATTGATCTTTAAGATAGAATTCAACTACTAATTGGATCAATTTATAATATATTACAAAACATATTGGTTGTATTCAAAGTTTACATTGACAAAAACTTTGATAAAAACTTCATATGCCATTCCAAATTTCTAACATGAGCTTCCATCTTATTTGTGAAGAAAAAATATAGATCTTTGTAAATGTAAATGGACTATTGAGGACTCAACAAGATCATCATCAAAAATAGATATCTTTTATTTTTGACTTTAAGACTTCTTGATCAATTCAATCAAATAAAGATTTATACAAAAATAGATCAAAGAGGAGCATACAAATTACTTCACATCAAAGTAAAAAATGAATAGAAGATAACATTTTGAACCAAGTATGGACAATTTAAATATAATATCATGCCTTTTGGACTCACGAATGCACTAATTATAATTCAATATCTAATGAATGATATCTTTTGTGAATTTTTTGATGATTTTATCATCTATTATCAAAATAATATTTTAATGTATTCTAAGAACATAGAAGAGAATGAATTTCATGTTTGTCATGTCCTACAAAAACTTAGAGATGTAAGATTATATGTCAAGATAGAAAATTATATATTTTATACTATTCAAATTGACTTTTTATAATACATCATTTCAAATGATGGCCTTATAATGGGTTCTAAGAAGATTTAGACTATCATAAATTGAAATATTTTAAAAAAATAAAAGATATGTTTTTTAAAAATATATATTTCAATTATTACTAGATCTTCATCAAGATTTCTTTTAAAGTTGTGGATCTTCATGTATATTTAACATATAAAGAAAAATTTGAGTGGAGCAAAGAAGCTAAAGCCTCATTTGAAGCCTTAAAGACATCATTTATTTTTACACCAATTGTTATGGATATACTGTATGGGAGACCAAACAAGTAGTTGAATAAAAGAATTTTAACAAAAAACCTATCAAGAATTTGATTAAATCAAATAAATATAAGATCAATACTAAAAGAGGTGAGATAAAGCTCAAAGATATATATTGTTAAGATTGAAAATCTCCTTAGTATCAATTCCAGTATATACTAGGTATTAAAAAGCTTCTTAAGAACCTTTCATGTTGCTTAAAGATAAAAAACTTTAGGAACCTTCTTAA